CCGCGGCTCCGCCCGCGTTCAGATGACCAAAAACTAAATTCTTAGGTGTTACATATTAGTATACTCTTACATTGCAGTTTTTGTATTTTTCCTCAGAAATAAGATATTTTCCCGCGGTAAAAAGTATCCTAGGATCGCGCGCTACATCGCCCGGTTTATATAGCTTGAGCAGGCGGTCGAGCGATGCGGGGCAGAGGGGATGGACTCGCCGTAGGCATCTCAATGCTCGCCAAGCATTAAAAATGTTTCGCTACTAATTACTTCTAACAACGATATCTCAAAAACTATTCATCTGATTGATTTAGTGTAAAGAGCAATTTTAATCTGCATTAAATGACTAAGCTAACTAAAATATTCATTTGGATAAGGATTAATACCGAACTAAAGAAAATAACTTTGAAAATAACGTAATGTTTTTAATTAAAAATGTTAACATAAAAGTGGTTATTGTAAGTCAACCGTAAGAGATAGAGATATGCTATCGCGGACTTTTTTGTAGCATTTTTATAGATTTTGAATTCTCTAGTACATTACTTAACTGTATCTTTGCTAGTTTACGCGGCGTTCGCGTGGAAAGTTCCCATTTGGCGAGATTTTTTGCGACCTCTTCAACATTTGTCGCCGTATTTCAGCTAATTTACATAAAAGCATAATAAATTATATACCTAAACCTTCCTCAAGAATTACTCTTTCTATTGTTGAAAACCGTATAAAAATCCGTTCAGTAGTTTTCGAGTTTATCGCGTACAGACAGACAGGAGGACAGACAGGAGGACAGAAAGACGCGGCCGGGGGACTTATTTTTATAATAAGTATAGATATTATATTAGTATAGATGTAACTTGAAAACTTAATCGTAAATCATCTCTATTCCATGTTGAAACTACGCCAATAAAATCGTAAGAAAAATAGTTAAATAATATTGCTATGAACCAACAATTTAATAAATAGTAATAAAGTCTGTTAACACCTTACATCACATCAAGATAATCACATAAAACCTCCGTGTTAGTGTAATCACTTGATAAAAATACTTAAACAAAATAATAAGTCTTTTTTTATATCTTGGCAACGAAATAAAATATACGAACAAAAAAACAGGAAATATTTTTTAGTTTATTATTTTTTTAAACTATTATTATTAAAGAAGTAATTAGATTCGTGGATACGCAAAGTGATATAATATAAGTGGTTTATGCAATGAATCCACTGTGGATTGCTTTCTCTTAGAGACCTAACCACCACCAACTAGAAAGAATAAATAATTAAAATACAATGTAAGCTATACATATAATAAAATTGTAACTAAGCCGAATCTGTACAATAATTTTTATTCTGGAAAATCTTATTGAAACAAACATTATTATTGAAACAGAGGCCGAATCTATAGTTTTTTGAATATTTGTCTGCCTGTCTGTCTGTTACCGCATCACAGAAAAACCACTGGAGGGATTTTGATGAAATTTGGTATGGTGATAGCTGGTTATCCGGGTCAACATAAAGGATACTTTTTACCGCGGGAAAATATCTCATTTCTGAAAAAAAAACAAAAACCGCATTGTAAGAGTATACTAATATAACCTAAGAATTTGCTTTTTGGTCATCTGAACTCGCGCGGAGCCGCGGGCAATGCTAGTTTATACATAAATATAAAACAATATAATATTATTGCAACGGTCCATTACGTATGTAAGAAGTTACTTGGCCTACTTTGAAAATATTATTTTCAGATTACCACATTGTGTGTCGTAGTGCACTGTGGTATAAAGAGTCTTATTGACACTGCTCAAGGCCGTGGGTTCGATTTCGTTTCGGTGAGAATACTTGCATTGACTATAAAGATGTTTTACCTTGACTAGTTAAATCAAAACGCCGCTGAAATCTAGCACGCATTTTCTAAATAATTAAAGTGAATGGTGAACATTATATATAAAAGCAAGGAAAACATCGTGAGGAAACCTGTATGTCTAAGAAAAAACCTAGTAAGTTTTCGAAAGACATGTGTAGTCCGCCAACCCGCACTTGGCCAGCGTGGTGGACTATGGCCTGATCCCCCTCGTATTAAAGGGAGGCCCGTGCCCAGCAGTGGGACGTTAATAGGGCTGAATACATACATAAGACTTTGATGTCAATTAAATTAATAAGATTTAAGATGCTAAAAATCGCTATAAAAAAACAGTCTATGTTTTTTGGATATAATGTGTTTTTTTAATTAAAATTAAACCTCCTTCTTTTTGGAACTCGGTCAAAAACGAATAGCCTTGTTTTACAGATCAACATGAATTGTTGTTATTAGACTTACTTACTACGTTACGTATGCAGTTAGTACGTGAATTCTACAACTTTATCATATTCAATTGCTCTAAAATGAGATTATGAAGTAAATGTATTGAAATGCGAAAAGTACAACTGACCTTCTGACTCTACTTCATCGGTCTCGTTGAATGTTTATTGATCTGAAATTATAATTTATACATACTATTATATTCGTGTTTGAAAATTATACTTAAATTGAATAACAATTGAGCATGATTAGATATATTAAATATTTTATTTCTGGCTGGTTACGTTATTGTTGTACGTAATCAATATATAACTAAGTACCTACTACAAATAAATAAATATTTTTGTTTCAAATATTTGTTTAATATTTATATAAGTATTTCCGATTCTATTCTTCTTTCATCGATATTACTACAATACGATTTCATCGATGTACTGTTAAAAAAGCTACCAGTAATTATTAGTTTCTCATGTTTTGATACCTATTAATTGATATATATATATATATATATATATATATATATATATATATATATATATTTCGTTCATGACAATTCATGAACGAATTAGCCACTAATTCGTTCATGCCTATTGTACAATGTATATATTAATTGCTAAATATGCTATTAACTAGCGATTCCCACTAGCTTCCCTCGGGTTTGTCCCTAGGTAAGTTTTAACGTTTAGTATGGAATAGTTAGACTATACATTGGTATATATATTTATATATGTACATTGTACATAGGTATGATGAGTTTTATCACCTTTACTTGAGAAATAATTGATTCCCTATACGAACTTACATCCCCCTTTTTTCCCCTTAAAGGATAACTTCCGGGATAAAAACTATCCTATATCCTTTCTAAGATTTTAACTATCTTCATACCAAATTTCGTCTAAATCGGTTCAGCAAATTTTTAGTTTACACATTACGAACAAAAGAAACTCTTTATAATATTAGTATACTGTATAGATATACAGTAATTATAAATAACATAGACATTTTATTTCTTATCAATTACAACAACAACAACAACACGCAAGTGTCACTGAACTGACAGACACGCATTTGTTCCGCGACTCCTAACAATTAAATCATCACATTAGAATAGCACAAATAGTCTGTAAGAAAGCTGTAAGCCTGACATCCTGCTTAAAGCGGACCTTTAGAAAACCGCTTGTGCTAATGACCTAACATTGCCACTTAATAGCTAGGATGCCTAGTAGCAAAATTGAATTAGGTTTTTAAACTTTTTTAATGATAAAGTGTATGTAATGTGTAATTTATTGCTATTTAAATTTTAATATTATTTAGATGGACAAAAAAAGAAATGGATGAAAAAGATTTTTAAAATAGATATTTAGGCCCGATCACAATCCACTCTCGTTCCGATATCGGTCTAATAAAGTATTTTAATACCAAAAAGGTTGCTGTAGTAGGATCCGATTGGAACTTGACTTATGAATTGACTTATAGAATAAATTCAAAATTAAGAAAAAAACCTACGCAAATTAATTGTCATTTAACGATTACACTGGCACGCGTGAAGCACATAATCGAGTAATCATTCGCCAAAATGCACTAATGGACCGATATTAATCAAACATAGCTAAGAACCACCGCAAGGAAACTGGCTTTCAAATGAAAAAAACCACATCGAAATCGTCCCATCCGTTTAATAGCTACGATGCCACAGACAGACAGACACACACACACACACACAGAGAGACAGACATCGACGTTAAACTTATAACACCCCTCTTTTTCCGTCGGGGGTAAAAAATAACTTAACAGGGCCGGCAGTCTCGACATAGTTAGCGATCGCTATTTTATCGATTCGTGCCGTTAAGTTGTAATCATGAATGATTTCGATGTCGTATTCATTAACGATTACGACTTAGCGGCACGAATCGATAAAATAGCGATCGCTAACTATGTCGAGATTGCCGGCCCAGATCGATATAGTACCGAGAACGAACCGTGGTCGACACCATAGTATGGATCGGACCTTAATATTCCTAATCTCCGTGAAAGTGGCCGCATTTAAATTCAGGTCTTCTATCTATGTTGTAATTTTATGTAATAAAGAAAAACCATGAAATGATCAATTTGTGATGAAGTGGCACTAAATATGAAGTACCTGCTTACTTTGACATGGTTCCAACTTTAGGATTGACCATAGAAAATATTGTTTTGCTAAGTTACTGAAGGCGGTACGTAATAACTTACATAACCATACACCATCACTGAGTGCGAGTCTTGCCTGCCTACCCTTGTAATGCATATTGCTTTACAAATAAGGTCATTCCGATAACTTTCTTTCAATTTATGTTGGCAATTTTAAACATTCTCAGTTCTCATCACTGAGCTACAGTAAAAAATAACAAACTTATTATCTCGAGGCTTAGTCATCAATTGACTCTCTTGCTTCAATTGAGTTCCTCGAACTTAAGAGTTTTTATAACGTAACATTAAAAAATAGTTTGACTTAGATATTACCGTCTGCAATCATCCTTCATCACAATTAACGAAAATATACATCATAACGAGTCAAGAAAATTATTCCGAATTTCACTAAAATCCGTTCAGTAAGAAATACAAGCACTCACAAAGTTTCGAATTTACTTAAATAAAAATCTAAAAACTTTCGTTAGAATATAAACTCCAAATAATATTTATAATTTTGATAATAATATTTTATTTCTTATTTTTTCAGATACTATGGTATGGTGTAGCGATACTTGTTTTATTAGAGAAAGGCGTCAACGGTCATGGAAGGCTCATAGAACCGCCGTCTCGGGCATCGGCATGGCGTTACGGATTTGACACACCACACAATTATAATGATCATGAATTGTATTGTGGAGGATTTTCTAGACAATGGAATAAAAATAATGGCAAATGTGGTGTCTGTGGAGACGCCTGGGATGCTCCAAAGCCTCGCCCCCACGAGTTAGGAGGCAGATTTGGCAAAGGCGTGATCGTCCGTCGATACGCTCCGAAAGATGTCATAGTAATAAAAGTGGAATTAACAGCAAATCACAACGGATTTTTTGAGTTCAGATTGTGTGATGAACCGAAGGGTACAAATCAAGACTGCATGGATAAACACACCTTACGATTGGAGGGAAAAGATGAAACAAAGTTCTACCCACGTGAGGGAAATAAAGTGTATGAAATGAAGTATGAACTTCCTGAAGGTTTAGAATGTGCTCATTGCGTGATGCAATGGAGATATATCGCTGGAAACAATTGGGGTACATGTGCAGATGGAACGGGAGCAGTTGGCTGCGGGCCTCAGGAAGAATTTAGAGCATGCGCTGACATAGCAATAGGCATAAACTTCACTACTACTACAACTACAACTAAAAGGCCAAGGCCACCATATGTTCCACCGAGCAGAAGACCATCAGTACCAACTCCAGAAGAATCTACTGGAAGTGCCTGGTATGGCCTTCTCATCGCACTACTCGCACTTTTCATTGCAGTCAGCGTGCTGGCGGGCATTTACCTGTATTATTACAGAGGAGGCATGAGGATAAAGAATCTTTTAAAATCAAAAGTCCCCCCACCTGCTCCCGTCCCTCCTCCTAGACATAAAAAAATGTCTCTTTCAAGGGAACACCCACCAGAAATATCTGCCCCTAAAATAATACCTGAGTCCGGTTTCGAAACAGTAGATTTAAGAGCAAAATAATGTTATTGAGATTCAAATGCAACTGCCACTGCCTTTTTTTAGTCATAAATAGAATATTGTTAGATATAAGTTGTTTCATAAAGTGTGATTGTAGAGCTGTGCATTGGAATAATATTTTATTTAAATTACGTTACTAGATGTAACTTATTGAAATAAACACTCTGTCGTTTATTTCTTTTAATATTTCATACTCAAATAATTAAACAAATTGTGTAATCTGTTAATTTATCAGTTATTTTAATATAAATTATAAAATCAATTGTGTTGTAAATTGTAATTATCAAAGCAGTCCAAGTATCCTGTTGTCCAGTGGGAATGTGAGGAAGAATTTAGTTTGACGAATATCGTGTACACTTTATTTATATATAAATTAAATATTATAAAACAATTTAGTCGTTTCATTTTAATACTATACTTATTACAAAGTAATGGAAAGAAGTAAGAGTCAATAGGCAACTCTAGTTGATCTATTACAGAAGCCCTAGTTTTAGGACATAAAATTATTTAAATGAATATCGGTTTAAAGAATTTGACTACTTTACAAAATAAAGTAGTATCACATTAGTATTATAAATGTGAAAGACCTTCACACGGATCTGGATGATGTTTAGTGCACAGAGAGATTTGACCTAGAATTGTAAAGGCTACTGTTAGTAATTTAATTTACCAAAAGGTGGCGGTACCTGCATATAATATTATAAATCCAAAGGTGCTCATATAACAAAAAGTTGAGTAAGGAGCATAATAATTATAAAATAAAACTTTATTCGCTAACAAAAATTTAAAATAGTTACAAACAGGATTAATTGGAATTTAATATTCAATCACTAGTTTTGGAGAAATGCGTGGACAAACATACATATGTACATCGATAAAATTTTGTATATTTGATAACATCCTAATCATGGGTCACATAATATTAATACATATGCCTCATCTTATACAAAGAAATTGGACAGCACTAATTCGGGCTATTCTTTGGCCTATTTTTTTTACTTGAATTTTTAATAGATGTCGTTGAATAGTTAAAGTATTTTATTTTATAAATAGGTATATCCAAACTAACTTATGGTAAATATTATAAAAATCGTTTTGTATTCGAATAAAAAAAGACAGTGATTTTAACAATTTTTTACCGTGATTATCAATTCATAAAAAGTAACAGCGCCATCTGTGAATATACACTCACGTCCATCAATGGCTGATATAAAATATTTCAGATCAAATAATGATTAGATGGTCAGTAAAATTACGCAAAGATTTATGGGCGCATTATTTTGTTTCACTTCGGTTAGAATATTTTTTAAAACGAATAATACACCTTTTCGAGATCTACTTTTTTATCTTTTGTTATTTTAACACAACTTTAATAACAAATGACGTATGTAATGACGATGACATAACATTTTTTTTTATATTTATTTTAACTAATTTTTCTTTGCTCGACCCCATGCCCTGATAGGTTATCATCTATACTAAAATTATAAAGAGGCAGAGTTTGTTTATTTGTCTGTTCGTCTGTTTAATTTGTTTTATTACTAATCCGATTTAAAAAATTACATTACGTAGCTCATATATTGAGGAAGGCTATAAGCTATAGGTACATACATCATAATATAATATGTATAGTCTATTCCATACTAACCATTAATACTTACCGACAGACGAGCCCGAGCAAAGCGAGGGTGAGTGGTTAGTATATGTTTATATAATTAGTAGTGTATATAGTTGTAGTGAATATTTTGCTTTTTGCTGTTCCAATAATATTACAATGTACATACATACGTATCGAATTGATAACCTCCTTTTTTTAAGTTGGTATTGGTATGAAAAAGTATTTATTTGGATCTCATGAGATTATATTAGATACTGTTCTAAAAATTGTTAATAGATGGCACGGCCTATAATACTTTATTTAGTCAATAAAATGTGATATTATATATCACTATATGACATTAGCGTTAACTTATACTTTAACAATTTGGCATTAGAAGTATTTTCAGTACTTCTTACACTTTTTTTTTAAGATTATAATAATAGAAAATGTTCTCAAATATCTTGTAAATAATATTTTTTACGCCGGCCAAGCTCGGGATAGACGCTTGATGTCACTGATACTAGCTATGCATTAATTTAATATTAGTAATATTTTTTTATATATTTCCACAAAAAATATTTATTATATTATAAAAAATCACATTAAAAAATATTTACTATAGACTAAAAATCACTTTTTTGGATAGGGCAATATTTTAGACAAATGTCACAGTCAATAAGTCGCCATAGACAATCTCAAAACAAACGTGCTGCTAAAAAACTATAAAAAAGCTTATAGGAGCATTTATTTTACGACAAAGTACTTTTATAAATGAAAAATGGCAGTACGGCCACAGCACATGCATGACGGTGGTATTGTTGAGCGTAGATTGCGTCCAATTTACGGTAAAATTAATATGTAACCTAAGCCACTATTTTGTTACTTTTTATAATTAGTGCTTTGAATGATAGTACTGGCTTCTATTTCAGACTGGTTGGACAATGGGAACAACAAGAAGGCCTTGCAAGAGGCGGAAAAGGTTCTTAAAAAAAGTCCATCATTACAAGCCGCTAGGGCTTTGAAAGCGTTAGCGTTATTTAGGTTAGGAAAAGGACCGGAGGCTCACAGCGTACTTGATGCACTTGCTAAAGAAAAGCCAAGTGATGATTCAACTTTACAGGCTATGACTATATCTTATAGGGAATCTCAACAATGTAAGTTGTTCAATAAATAATCCTCTTAAAGTAAATATACCTACACATACATTATGTTTCTGCTATACTCAACGCGTAGAAAACAAGAATCTGATAACTTTTAGCTACAGTATTTAGTGAAATTGAGAGGTGTCCCCTCTCTTTAATTTTTTATTTTACTCTTTCATTATAACCTCTGTCTCTATAATGTTTCTTATTGTGCATAGTTTCACATATTGTATTTATTTTATATTCTTCAATCAAGCAGTGATATGTATTTATAATAGTCTTTAACCTCAAATATAAATAAAATGTGTAAAATAATAAAACTATGTTAGTCCACAAGGTATGTGAACTATATGAAGCAGCAGTAAAAGCAGAACCAAATAGTGAAGAGTTACATTCACACCTTTTTATGTCATATGTGAGAGTGGGAGATTATCGGTCTCAACAAAGAGCAGCAATGGCATTATACAAGTTTGCTCCTAAGAATCCTTACTACTTTTGGGCTGTGATGAGCATTGTTTTACAAGTAAGCATACTTTTTGTACTTTCATTAATGTACATAACATTATACATATTATATTTAAAAATTATTTAAAGTATTTTATCTTATGTGTATGTTTGAACACTGATCTACTAATAGAGGATAAGATAATCAAATCTCACATCAAACATAAATTCAATGATTGATAGGCATATTAAAATTTTTGTGATAAATAATTTTTGAGTTAACATAAATTTGATGTATAACAAACAAAAACAATTTTTATCTCTAAATTACATATCTATTTATACTAATGTTTGCCAAGTGGTTGAAATTTGACCAAAATCATTATTGCAAAATTTGAAAAAAGTAATATGATTAGAATTTACCTATCTTTATAAAAAAAACTAACTGTATCCATTTTTTTTTATTGATAACACTAAAGCTCATCAGTAGCTATGAAACAAAATAGAAAAAGAAAATTGATTGACAAATAGCAGAAAAAAGTACTAAACTGTTGGTATGGTATGGTATATTTGGGCTTGTTTCCGCAACTCGACGTCTGCGCGCCTATTTTGCATGTGTGGGAAATTTTCCATTTGTGTTACTCTTGCCAACCCAGTTCCTCCAGGAATTTCAGCAATCTCTTCGTCTTGCTGAAAACCTCCAGGAGTATACTAGGGGTGTACTAAACTGTTTTGTCTTTGTCTATTTACATAAAGATAACTACTTTTTAATCACAGTACAATGGCTATTTAATTAATAGCGCTTTTATATTAAACATATCTTTTTGCTCATATTTTATATATTGTAAAGAGATGTCAATGTGAATATCTCTTTTTAACTGGTTAATACCTTTTCTACACTGTCTTCTCCATTCTACACAACATTGGCAAAGGAATCAGTGCTCATCTGTCATGCCTAAAAGCCAAATAACAAAGAATTGAATTGATTTTTTTCTTATCATTAAACTCTCATATAATTTACCAATACTACTTAATATATAATAGCTATTTAAAAGAGTGTTTTGAAAATTTCATAAGAATGTTTCCAGGCAAAAACCACAGATGATCCTCCAAAGAAAGGAATCCTCTTAACACTAGCCCAAAGGATGGTGGACAATTTTATATCAGAAAATAAAATGGAAGCTGAACAAGAGGCTCGCTTATATGTCATGATTTTAGAGCTGCAAGAAAAATGGGAAGATATCCTCAATTTTATAGAAGGGCCGTTGTACTCTCAGCTTGTCCCTGGGTCAACAGCGCAAGCAAGCATACCATACTTAAAGAAACTAGGTCATTGGAGACGGCTTAATTTACTCTGTAAGGAGCTGTTATGGGATAACCAGGATCGTTGGGATTATTACCTACCTTATTTTGACTCTGTCTTTCAATTAATGAGTAACGCTGAGTCTGATGGTGACAATTCAGCGGATGATACAGCAGAAAAATGTCACGAATTTATCTGTCAGCTTGTAGAGAGTATGTCCTCAGGAAGGACTTTAAGAGGTCCTTATTTAGCTAGGCTAGAATTATGGAAGCGGTTGTCAGTAGATGGGGACCCCACTGCACTGCTAGGTAGTGGAGTGGCTTTATGTATACAATATTTAAGGGTCTTTGCGAATAAACCTTGTGCTGTACCTGATTTAAAGCCTTATTTAGCAATGATACCACAAAAAGAGAGGGAAGATCGGTGCAGAGATTTCTTGACTTGTTTGGGTTTTGATGAGAATAGTGAGCCTGAGTCGGTGAGTAAGAGTTTGTAATTTAATTTACTTAAAGTAAAATATAAACCATATTAACATGTGGAATGGCAAAGTTTTTGCATTAAAGTATTGTTTTAGTTAACATTTAAAATATGGAATAATCTCTGAAAATTCTCTCATTAATAGGATAAGATAGCTTTATTATTGCTGAGTACTATAAACTATATTTTATATTCTGATAAAAACGTGTTTTCTGTCAGAAATAAAAAATGGCTTCTTTAATTGTATAAATTCAGTTACTTTGTCAGTGTCTAACAATAACTGACACTTCGATGTCTAACAATGACTGACCTTGCTTCGCTTCTGCTATACAAACTTGTCCTGACAATAACAAACACAAAAAATAAGAATTATCCAATTTGGTGCAGTCGATCGGAAGTTATGTGTGTACATACATTTCGGTAATTCATTTTTATTTATATAGATATTAGATATCATTGTATTAAAATATTATGTTTTTCGCAAAAAATAAAATACATGTTCATATTAATATACAAAACTTACTATACCATTGTACGTTACTAGTAAAATGTAATGTCTGTCTGTCCACCCCCAGCCGGACGACATTCAGCGCCACATCTCGTGCATTTGCGCGTGGCGGCTGACGGCGCCAGTGGCGTCCGCCAGCGAGCAGTTGTCGGTGGCGACGGCGCTGCGCCGCCAGTACTTGCGCTGCGTGGCGCGCCGGCTGGTAACAGCGACGCCCACTGAATTCTGCGCCGCTGATGGTTATGGGACTCTTGCTGCGCATCACTATTTCTATGCTGGTGGGTTTCAATGTTTTTATTTATGACTGTAATAATTGAATTCAACAAAACATATTCAATATGGACTCCAAAACTGCTTCAATGACCAAAAGTAATTCTACTCGTAAGATCTGTAAAGGTCATTTTCTTTTAATTAATACAAGACCGTCTTTAAGACTTCAATAAAAAAAGAATGATGAAAATCGATTCACATTATCGTTAATATTGCGTAAACATACCCATTGAAAAAATACAGGTGAATTTAGTACCACCTCTTTTACGAAATTTAAACGTTTTTTTTCTGTGGAAATGAGATAATCTCCTGCAATAAAAAGTAGCCTACGTCACTCTCTAGCCCTCCAACTATCTACATACAAAAATCACACCAATCCGTCACTCTGTTTAGACGTGAAAGAGGGACAAATAAACAAACACACTTTAACATTTATAATATTAAGTATGGATTGTAATTTCCAGCGGTACAAGAGAAGAATGCTCAACCTATAGTGGAAGCTCTGTGTTTGTTAGAGCTGGTGCTACACAACTCGCCTTCCAATTTCCATGCGAAACTACTCCTCATCACTCTCTATCATATACTTGGTATGTCATTTAATTGTAATTTAAAATTTCAATACAAAAGTGTAACATTCATATGCGTATTTGAAAAATATATTGAATGTCTAATTATATAATGTCTTTTACAATTTGAACATTTTTGGCTATTTATGTCCACACCACGAGTTGACCACTCAATCATTCATTCAATGAATGAATGGGTTTCAACAAAGGGAGCGTTCAAGTATTACGTAACGCAATTTGGGGGGGCGGGGGGGTCTCGTAAAACGTTACGATGCGTTACACGGGCGGGAGGGGGTCCTTCTTACAACACGTTACGTAACATTATTTCTTTTTTTATATAAAAAAATAGGGAAATAAAACTCCCAAATTGGCAACCCTTTTCGTTTACGTTTTACGGGGAATCTCTCGATTGTATTAGTCTGGTCGCCATTTTTAATTTGTTCTCGCATGTTGGTAAACCTTTTCGTTTATATTTCACGGGGAATCCCTAGATTGTATTGTACGTCATTTAATGTTGTTTTTGTTGTCAGTATTCGTTAGTGTTTATGCAGAAGCAAATTGCTGTAGTCGCTGTTATTAAAGTGAGTTCATAGTGTTCATACTGTAATGTCCTCAAAAGAAGGAGATTTGTATCATCAGCTGTTCTTGGCCTATAAAGGCTCTCATGCTGACTTGCCAGCGCAAGTATGTCAAAAAAATGCCAATGAAATTTGGAAAACGGCTAAAGAAAAACTAAAAAACAAAGAAAAGTTTATAGAACATATAAATGATGTTATACGAGAGTTGAAGGTGAAGGCCACGAAGAAGAAAGCAACAATGCTTAGTTATTTTACACAAGTAAGTTTACTACTAAAATGCATGGACGAATTAGAGACTGGACCTGACATAAAATACAAATGTATGAAAACTAGTTCAACCAAGTGACGCATAACGCACACAAAGATTTTATTACATTATTATAAACACTGATACACAATACAATATTTCTAGTGCTTGAACGTAATCGATAAAATACATATATCGATGAACTAATACTGCAAGACTGTCCAAGACCATTGTGAAACTAGAGTACGGCCACAGCGCCTTGCTGCCAGAAGGGCAAATGAGCTTCTCTGCATTGTGCGTCGTTATGAAACATCGTCTGAGGATGCTGACTGGCTCGACGAAGACGAAGTTGATGCAAGTGGCTTAACAATTCCAGAACCGTCTTCGTCTGCACTCCAGGTGCCAGTGATGAAAGAATCTGAGTGGCTAGCAAACCCGTGGACAGAGGAGCAGTAATTTCAATCGAATTGTTTTTATAGACCTACTTAGATACTTGGTTAATAGTTGATTATTTTTTAATTTTGTTAAGAATACGATTTTATTTCGAGTAAAATGTTTAATTTCAGTTGGGTTTCTGTTTATAATTGCATTGCCAAAGGTTAAAATAAATATGTTATTTTATTTGAAGAATTTATTAGTAAAAAAGCTAAAATACTTAGGAGAATGAAGGAGAAAAACAATTGTGTTTTGTAAAGCCAAAAATTTATAAAAAAATAAACAAAATACGCAGGTGTTGCGAATTAAAAATCTCTTGTTTTATTATAAGGCAATTAAAACTATACGAAGGATAAAAACTATAACAACTTTTTGCGACTTCAGGGTAAAAATGATGACTTGAGTGTTACGTAACCTTTAGAGAGGGGGGTGGGGGGTACAGAAAAACGTTACGGAGCGTTACAGTGGGGGGAGGGGGGGTCAAAAATCTTCAAAAATTGCGTTACGTAATACTTGAACGCTCCCAAATTTATTAGGAATTATTTTTATGAAAATATAGTGTAAAGAACACATAATGACATTTCTTTTCAAATATTTATGCCCATTTAGTATATCATGTAAGTTAAAGTCTACTCTTTGTTACTCTTACTACTAGGTTATATTTATTATTTGTAAATATTAAATATTATAGTATACTAATATTTATTTTTCTACCTAAAGTGCTTTTCTCTCACCAATATTGAATGAGAGATTCTCACATTCTTTCTAGGTTTAAGATTCTCTCTGTATGTTTCTAAGCGAATTTTATTATATTTTATGATATTCTTTATTGCATATTCATTACCTTTGTAGTATAAACAATAGAGGGACTAGTGTGGGCAAAAGTTTCCTCTACAAGACATCTCTTACAACCAACCTATGGGAACATGAGAAATAATGTTATTATATAGAAATGAATGTCAGACCTAGGAAGTTTTCGAAAGACGTGGCTAGTCACTCGGCCAGCGTGATGGACTATGGCCTGATTCCTCTCGTATTAAAGAGAAGCCGGTGCCCAGCAGTGGGACGTTAAAAAGGGCAGAATACAAATGTCTGAAATTTAAGTGCAGTTTCAATATATTCCTCACTCCTTTCAGGCAACGCAGTAGCAGCAGAGTCGATCTACCGTCGGCTGGAGGCGAAGCACGTGCAGCTGGTATCGCTGGGCTGGCTGCACGCCGCGCGCCTGGCGCCCGCGCTGGCGCCCGCGCGCGCGCTGCGCCTGCTCGCCGACACGCACGCCTTCCACAAGCACCACGCCAAGGACGTTAGTGTCATAGTTATTATTTTATCATTACCATGCTAAGTATGTTGAGAGGTTACGCTGTTGAGGTTGAGAACTGAAGGAAAACATGGTGAGGAAATCTGCATGTCTGAGGACTTAACTAGTTTGCGAAAGACATGTGAAGTCCGCCAACCGGCACTTGGCTAGCATGGTGGACTATAAAATGAACCCCTCATATTGAAGGGAAGCCCATGCCTAACAATGGGCCGTTAAAAAAAAGGCTGTATATAATTTTATCTTATTTGTTTCACTCTTTAATGACTAGTTATAACCAAACCATTTTCCCTCAGAGCATGGAACACCTAACCTACGCATACAAGTACGGAACATTCGAGAAGCTGGTCGAGCTGAGCGCGTGGGGCGAGCGGCTGGAGGCGTGCGCGTGGTGCGCGCTGGCGGGCCGCGAGCGCGCGCTGCTGCCGCTGCTGGCCGGCCCGCCCGCGCCGCTGCACGCGCCCGCCCGACTGCCCTGCCCGCCCACGTGAGACGCCCTTATATACTCACACTCGTATACACATACACGCGCACACACTCCTACACAAACACATAAACACTCAACACTCGTACGCACGTACACAATATATTATTATATGCGCACACGTATGCTATTGTTTTGGATTTGGTTTTGTATATGACGTAATAATAGCATAACAGTTCAATTAGTGTATCCAAAAGGGGCTTATAAATTATATATAAATGCAAAGCCAATTTTTTGATATGTTGTGTGAATATAAAATATATATATGGTCGAATTGAGAAAAATTTAAGCTTTTTAACCGACTTCCAAAAGGGAGGAAGCCTTTTTTGAAGTCGGTTGAAAAACCTTAAATTCAAAACTAATAGTTTCTTAAAAAAGGTGTTGTATGTGGTGTTTTTGCGATAACTCGGTTCCCCGTGACTTAGAGACTTTTTATTAATATACGTATAATGTATATAAACTATATATATCATAAAAATCGTTAAGTTCCGAAATACATGAAATAAATTACATACATCGTATTTTAATAATATAAGATGATCGTAGAAAAAATAAAATTTATTTAATTCGTTATTTCCAGTGACAACCGAGATCTCAACGCGATAGTGAGCTGGGACCCGCCGCAGATGGTGGACCCCGACCTGAAGTCGCGCACCTTCGAGCAGGAGGTGGCGTACTTGAGGCTTAAGGATGGCCTTGTTTCTTCTATAGGTATGTTTATATCAGGACAGCCAAGTTTTTTTAAACTCCAGCTGCCAGGCTTTCCTACAATTCAAGATTAGGCTGTAGGGATGTATGTATGCCTGTCGGAAGGTAGTGAGATTTTCTCACACATAAAGATTTCCTCATAATCTCTTGCTTCAACATAACAATTTATAATGTTGAAAATGATTCACATATGAAAATATTACAGGTGTGAAACCCAGAATTTATAGCAGTTTCACTTGATAGAAAAATTCTATAACTAAATTTGGCTCGACCCGGAACTCGAACCTAGAAGGTCCGGAATTGTATCCATATATGCCAGCCACTGAACCACCTAGGTTGTTCCTCTATAAATCTGAGAGGTTCACTATATAATATATATATATATATATATATATATATATATATATCTGGGCACGGGCCTCCCTTTATCACGAGCCTCGCTATATTCCACAACGCTGGCCGATTGCGAGTTGGCGGACTTGACATGTCTCAACATTTTCGAAAATTTGATAGCTTTTCTTAGACATACAGGTTTCCTCGCTATGTTTACATTTACCGTAAGACAAATGGAAATAATGTTGAAAATGATTCGCACATGAAAATATCAAGAGGTGTGGCACCGGGATTTGAACTCTCTTCACTCAGTTTCCCAAGCGAGCGCGTTATCACTGGGCAGGATAATATCTTATGCACGCTCTATATTCACGCGAGAATCTCGCGAGAAAGCGAGAAAAACACGAGTAACGTGAACGTGGAACCGATTCACATAATCTTCGCAGGTTCTCGTCTTGTTCTCTGATTTTTGTCGGTTTTTTGGCGAGAGATATTAACACTTTATAAATGTTTTCCAGCGCTGTGCATAGAGTGTTCGGACAACCGCAGCGTGGAGGAGAAGCGGGAGCAGCTGGAGGAGTTGCAGGGCTGCGTGGCGGCTTTCGGCAGCGCGCTGGCGCAGTGCCGCGCCCGACTCGCCGCGCCCCACGCGCCCACGCTTCACTACCCATTCCCCAGCAGGATCATTGGTACTGCATTTGCATTTATACTGCAATATACTCTATTTATGGTCTTGCTCCTATGAACAAAAATTTGTTTTGTACTTGATTACTTTGACAGATTAAGCTTATACTGGGAACTCGTTATTTAAAATATAGATTTATTTTAAATTGTTAATAATGATTAATTCAAATTCAAAATATGTACCTTTAAAAAATGTATATTTACCATGTAAATATTTATTGCAATTTTGATGTCTACATTATATTCTGTAACCTAACTGAGATGGTTAAATGTGTTGAGTAAACAATTAATAAATGCAAAAATTTAAATTAATTCATTCAATACGTTAATGTCCATCCAATAATTACAAAACAATATAACAAACCAACTAACCAACCCGCAGCGTTCGTGACGTCCCCGGTGCCGTACCGGGAGCTGTACACGCGCGCGCTGTCGCTGGCGCGCGCGCTGTGCGGCGGCTCGGGCGCGGCGGCGCGCGAGCACGGCGCGGCGCTGCGCGCGCTGCTGGCCGCCAGCAAGCAGCCGCTGGCCGCGCTGGGCGCCGCCGGCGACGTGTGGGCGCTGCGGGAGACGTTCGAAGCGCTGTCTAATTATTTAGAGGTTAGCTGTATTTAGTTTTATTTGTTTTATTTAATGGCTTAAAAGATCACCAAAAGTCATTTTTTTCAAAAGCTAATTTCTTGTAATTAATTGCATATAATTTTTGTTTAATTATATATTTTTATTATTTTTAAGCTTATAAATTTTACAACGTTGCTTAGAGGTAATCTTTTATGATACATTGTGCAAAATACTATAGCTAAATAATTTGTGTTTACAGTTCATAGGCGTCATCACTTTCCTGCTGGGTGTATGTAACGAAGTTACCGCCCCGGCGAATACGAAGAAATCCAAAAAGAAAACGAACCAATCTCCCGACCAAATACTCACCTCCGAACTACTGAGCAAGATAAACGACGACGTGCAGGACATTATTGTCTTCCTCGAGGACATATTTGACAATTGGCCTAGTTATAACTACGGGTTCACCCTAGAAGACGAACTAATGAAATTAGACATAACCGAAAAATACCAGTGTCCCGTCGAACAAAAATTAAAAAATGGACTCCAAGAAGTTCTAACGGACATTAAAAATATTTTAAAAAAGAAAGCAAAGTATTTAAAGACATTACAATAAAGTGGCCTTCCCATTGCGTGCATGCATAATGAGTTAATTTGTTTTATTACATACATATCTTGTAAATAATCCCGCTCGTCCCGAAAAAGACACGAAAACATACGCTTCACAATAGGCTATGGTTGTTTTAAATAAATATTAAGCAATATTTTGCGTTTGGTTTGAATTATTATTTATGTACATTTATAAATAGTGTTTGATAATATAGGTACTTATACAACAAATAAATACTAAAATTGACTCATGTTTCATTACCTGTCTCTGCCACAATTTTTTCTTATTTATTTATTTAACGACCCCGTTTGGCTCAGTGTGTAGTGACCCTACTTGCTGTGCCAGCGGTCGCGGGTTCGAGTCCCGCTGGGGGCATTCATTGTGTGATGAGCACGAATGTTTGTACTCCAGTCATGGGTGTTTATATTTATAATATGTATGTAATGTAAAGTGGACTCGTTTTCCGCACTTAGACTCTCTTTTGGTCCGTTGTGCGTGCGAATCCTGGCTATATTGGCCAGCCGAGCTCCGCCCAGAAGCGCAGAAGTTTCCTGGGAACTTCACAGGCTTCGCAGAGCGACCTCACTTGTCCGAGGATTTCTTCACGTTGAGAACTTACCGCTACGCATTTCAGGATTACGTGGGCAACTGATTCTTCAGCGCCGAGGCACCCTCTGCACAGAGGGGTGTCCGTTGCGCCGATGTTATATAGGTGTTTATTCAAGGGACAGTGGCCCGTTATCGTCCCTATCATTATTTTGAGATTTGTTCTATTGAGGTTTAGTAAGCGTTTTGTAAGTCGTGGGTTTACTGCAGGCAGAGCTGATCTTGATTGTCTGCAGTCTGCAGTTTGTGACCATCTGTTGTTTTGTAATGTCGTGGATCTTTGGCGGATCCAGGTGCGAATCTGTGCAAAGGGTATGGGAAGAAGCGGGTGTGGGCCAGTCACTTCTAGTTTTGACCCCCTTTTTGCGAGTTCGTCAGCTGCATCGTTTCCAAGTGAACCACTGTGTGCCCTGATCCATTGAAGGGTGACCTGATTTGTTGTTGATATCAAGTCCAGGGCATTGTGACATTCACTTATTAGTTTGTTTGTTATTTAGCGCCTACAGAACTGCTGCACTGTCGGAGAGTATTTTTATATTGTAGTTGTTTACTCCACGACTGCACGGTTCTTGCGGCTTCCGTTATGGCAACACATTCGCATTGGAAAATCGAGCTGTGTATGCCTAAGGTATTTGTATTTTAATGTTGAGATCAAGGGAAAATACACCGGCTCCTGAGCCTTCACGTGTCTTTGAGCCATCAGTATAAATCCGTAGCTCATTGGCAAGTGAGTGGTCTTGTTCCTCTTCTCTCATAGTTATTTTATATCTTTTGTTAAATATATATTTATTGTGTGTTCTGTCACACGGGGCAGCAATAAGTGGTTCGTGTCCTATTGCTCTATCCAGTATGGATGTGTGTGGACTATGGTGGTTTTTACCCCATAGACCTAAATGCATCAGTCTTATAGCAGCCATGGTCGCTTCTTGCTGTATGAATAGGTCCAGGGGTGTTGTCTGGAGCGCAACCTCTATTGCTGCTGTGGGAGTTGTTTTCATGGATCCACTGGTAGCAGACAGTGCCAGCCTTTGAAAGCGTGCTAGTTTGGTGATTGTAGTCCGGAGTTCCGTTCTAGTCCACCAAACCAGAGCCCCATAGGCTAGCATTGGTCTTATTACGGCAGTGTATAACCACATCGTTATTTTCGGCGAAAGGCCCCATTTGTTGCCTAGCATCTTTTTACATTGATAAAAGGTAATAGTGGATTTGTTTAGTTTGTAGTCAAGGTGCTTATTCCAGAGCAGTTTGCTGTCTAGAATTACATCCGTTAAGTTTTAGTTCTGTGTTGAAGAGTTTCGGGAGTCTGTAAGGTCCGGGTACTCTTCGGTTGGTAAACATGATTAATTCGGTTTTTAAGGGATTGACAGAGAGTTCGTGTTTACGACACCAGTTCTCTGTTATTTTGAAGGCTTTCCTCATTAGATCGCATAAGGTGCTTTCAAAATTCCCTGATATTAGAATGGCTATATCGTCAGCATACCCCACCGTATAAAGGCTGTTGTTGTTTAGCTCTGTTATGAGTTCGTTAACAACAAGGTTCCACAGCAGTGGAGACAGAACTCCGCCCTGTGGACAGCCCCTACTTACGATACCACGCGTCGTGGTGTTAACAGTAAACTGTATAGCCCGTTGTTTTAACATGTTATTTATCCATTCTATCAGTGTTGGGTCTACCCCATTCGCGTAATATATATATATATATATATATATATATGTAGTGTATCAACTATCTGGTATCCATAACACAGGTCTCGTAGCTTACCATGGAACTAGATGGCGCTGTGTGTTAATGTCCCGACGTATATACCTTCATGATACTGTCGCCGTGGCAGAGTGTATGAAACGATGTGCATTTGCCCTTTTATCAGCGGAGAAAACGTCACGTATAGGCGGTAGGCCCTTACCATTGCTTCACTTGGGTGAATTCCTATGTACCTTTCTGGAGCTTATGTGTCCTCCATCTATCTATCTCTCTATGGCTATCGTCTCGTGACCTTGTCTATCAAGTTTTATCCAAATCTAGTATATCCTCTACTAGATATGCAAAATCAGTCAATCTCATGCAAAAGTTCTGTCACCAATTGTTTAGGTAGTTATTCTAGCTGAAATATAAGTACAACAATGTAAATTGAACCTTAAATGCAAGGATTAAAGTTGTTTTCAAAATAAGAATGTAAAGCGCGCTCAAATGTTCAAATGAGTGCTCATTCGGTGAGGACATTTTTTATCGCTGATTGTATGGTAATAAACGTATCTAGTACTTTTTTGATCAATGTCCGCCTAACCGTTTCAGCATTAATGAATAACAAACATATAAACTAACAAACTTTAATTACGCCTGCGACATGAAATATCTTCACACTGAGATCACGTGGACTTTACATCCAATTAAAAATATTTTTGAAGATTTTTATTTTATTGTTCATCGATTAAAAATGCATCTGTACAATCGCAATCTTTTACATACGCCATTAATATAAAAACAAAAGGGTTAAAAGTAAACAAAAGTAAACTTGATTTATATTTATTTACAACACGAATATTGCGTTAAAATGAAATCAGCACAGTATAAAAATACGGTCTAGAATTATTTCGTCAACCTTAGATTTACATTACAAAAAATGATAAAACAGTCTGAAAGTACGGAATGTGGATGAATATGGAATATGATATCTATTGTTAAGAACAAAAATGTAACAATTGGTCATTCATACTAATTTCTTGAACACTTAGAAGCAATGATATCTGTGCTTGTTGAAATGTCTTGTGTCTACATGTTTTATATTAAATAACAAAAAGTATAATAATGTACCTGAACGCTATACATATAATTGCAACTAAGTGAATCAAGCTTTGAGAATAAGCAAAGATAAATGCTGAAATAAACCAGTACCAATTTTGTATTGAATAATATGGTGATATTTTATAAGGAAAAATTTATATAATAACTCACTTAAGGTCTACGCGTTTGGGAATATATTAGAAAACAATACTATGAAACGATAGATCATTGTGCGATCTCAAAGCCACTTATCGTATAATAAAAACTACAGCAAGTACGCAACATTAAATAAAAATCCTTACAGAACAAAAACACACAACACTCAAAAATACAATAAAATCTCTTATATTTTATTCTAATCGAAACAAAACTTCGATGTGCTTTATAACTGGAAAAGTTTTAAAATATTAAAACCAACACGTAAAATGGACTTGAAGTATATTTAGAAATCACAAAGAATGCAGATATGTACATCAAATATGAAATAACATAATTTCATCCTTACATTGCATTGTAAATTTATATGTTCTTTGTATCTAATCTTCATTTGTTGTATTACTTTATTATAATTTTAAATAATATAAATCAAAAACTGATATATTGTCGTCTCAGTGCTTATTTGTCTAATTTACCAAAAGGGTTTTTAGTAAAGAATTATTGACTTTTAAATGTCAATTCTATTGGTATAAAATACACATTTTACTATAAGAAAAACGAAAAAATGTATTTTATCTAAATATAAATGTTAGAAATAAAGCATTGTTTTTAAAATAGAGAGAAAAAACTGCTCAAAAGTACAAGAGTATTGGTAGTTGGAACAAATAACCACTATGGTGACGTTATAATACATCATTGAAATTGTTAAAACACTAAAAAATATATGTATATACATACATTTGCACTAATTGATGAGTAATAGTTCTATAATCAATATATAACATTTACCTACAGTAAAAAAAAAATTTAAATTCCAGTCACAAAGCACAGATACGCGAAAAATAAACAAAACATTAAATAATATGAGGAAAACATTATGCACCAAGATAGAACGCTAATGCGTGAACTTAACTAAGTCATAGCCTACATTCGAAGTGTGCACAAATATATACTTCTTCTATATAGAATGTTGTGACAGCTGATTAGTTATCTCATTGGAACTGAATCATACGAAAAGTAAAATTCAGATAAAAATCACTACAAATAAGTAAATCTTTAAAAATGTATTACAATTAAAAATTTTATTCAAAATTTATATTTTAATATTTTTTAAAAACACAATACCTACTTAAAACATTTTTGTTTATAATGTAAGGGTGTTGCTATTCGTCCGCTAATCGGATGAAAAAAAAATATATTCGTCCTACTGTTGTCGGTTTGTAAGAATATTTACCATTTTTTTGTTTTCTAATATCGTGGGGTCTCATCACGAACAAAGAAAAATTAGTTCAAACTTCAAATAAACGTCACACGTTACTTGTATCGATTTGCTATAAAAGTTGTGTTAAATTAACAAAAGATAAAAAAATAGATCCCAAAATTGTATGTTATTGTTTAAAAAAATATTCTAAGTGAAGGAAAAAGAAATAATGCGCCCGGAAATCAAATACATATGCGTAATTTTACAGATTATAGAAATATCAGCAAGCAGACGATGGCTTTGGAGTGTATATATTCACAGATGGCGCTTTTACTTTTTATGAATTGTTTATCACGGTCAAAAAATCATAAAATCTCTAAAAAAAAAATATTCGAATACAGAATGAATTTTACAATAATTACCAATAGTTAGTTTGCAGATATTTATAAAATAAAAAGTTTTAACTATTTGCGAATCAACGACATCTATTATCTATTCAAGCAAACAAAAATAGCCCGTATTAGCGCTGTCCAATTTCTTTGTATGGGATGAGGCATCTGTACAGTAGTATAGTATTATGTGATCTGTGCTAATGTAAAATAACCTTAACCTACTGAACTGAAAACGAATTCTTTTAGATCCCAATGTTTTTTATAGAAATATATACTACACACCAAAAATAGTCAGACGAATAATATATTTTTTAACCGATTGTCAACGAATAGACACACCGTTAATATAAAAAGGTGGTTTTGTAATAACAATCAGCTTCACACAACATTCAAGAGCTATAAAAAACAAGCTAGCCTTCTATAAGTTGTGTCCTCTAAAGTAAGTGCAAATAGACTAAAACCTATTCACATAATATATCTGTGTTATATTGCATAATTTTGCTAAAACTTTATTTAAATTAAAAGTTTAAAATTTAATAATCTTGCCTGATTTTTATGTTTAGACTTCACAGCGATCAGTATATTTTTGCAGAAGGCAACCAAGGAATGAATCCCTTTGATATATTTTAAAGAACACAATGTTATAATAACCCTATATTTGTCCTTAAATAACAGTGAATATTTCTATAACGTCTACATGACGGTAGTAGCATAAATTATATACAGCTAAATAATTTTATGCAAATATGACGTTTAATTATAGTTATTGAAATTCTGGAGTACGAAATGTACAAAATTTGATAAAAAACCTATTTTTTTTATTGAATATAAAATCTTATTTAGGGGCCGTTCATAAAATACTTTCGCACTTATGGAGGAAGGGCGAGAGATGCAAATTTTACAAAGACGTATCTATTATTTGTGATGCAATATTGATTGGTCGCAGAAAATGTGTTGAAAACGCGTATTTTATGAACGGCCCTTTATACAAATAAAACAGAAAATTCCTAAAATATAAATCTACGAAATTGCTCCTTACAATTTTTATTTAGTATGGTTTTTGTTTCCATAACAATCAGCAACTTAAAAATGAAAACCTTAACACAATTAAAATTTTAAAGGAATGTTTCTTCGACAAATTAATATTACATTAAACATTTACAAGCTTACTTTGCTTAACATTATACAAAAAGAATTCTTTATAATATGTAGATTCTATTTCACATAAATATGTTAATTGTTTATAATGATTTGGTATCAAACCTTACATAATCATAAAAACTTCGACTTCTGAGAAGTAAAAAAAAATACTGAAAAATTACTATCTAGTTGTACTTTCCGTGTTAGAAAAGGTTTTATTATCATTTATTTTAATCTTACAAAATATCTGACATAGCTATCGCCCGCGACTTCGATCACGTTACATATTAGCGTATAATATTCAGTAAAAAAATGTATTAACAAATCTAATATTATGTGATATTGAAAAAAAAGAAAATTTTTATTCAGTCAATACAAATATTTACATTTCATTCACATCCATGTACAAACATAACCCCTCAAATCAATATAATATAAATTTTCGAGATATGTCACTCGCTACACTTAAAAACACTTATCACAATGCATTATTAAAAGTTTTACATTTACATATACACAGATAAATAATATAATATATATGTATAGCATATAGCAAAAAGAACAGATAATAAAAGATATATTTAAACAAAAATCAAACTTAATAACTATACTTCTTACAAGTCCCATTTATTTTTGGACTTGATAAAAATACTGTGTAGAATCCCAGCCATTTTTTTTACTGTAGAATAAATATTGCACAGATATTATTAAATGATAAGTACTTTAAAGTAGCTTGTTTGTAATATTGTATTTTAATATAAATGGTTGGGAGTGGAATTCGAGATAAGTAGTTACCAACTTAAACCTATAATATAAATAGGGTGAAAATGAATACAAAAAAAAAGCTGCACTTAGTATTAAAAAATAAATCTGTCCATCAACTTAAGACATAATAATTTTTCTCATTTATAAATATTGCAATTTTTATTCTTTTACACATGTTATCACCTAATCAAATTTGTGATGGAGTATGATTTCAATTTCTGTCATATCACCTAATATTTCATAATCATTTAAAGCAAACAAGTTTTGTATCATAAAGACATTTTAATGACATGACACTTCATTTATGTTTATTTAAAATATGTTGCAGTAAAAAAAACATCAATTATGGGAACAGTTTATAGAATAAAAATAGAATTGACAATTTATAAATTAAGATTTATAAATTATCAATTGTATTTTCTATTGACCTAATATTTATTTTCGATGCAAACATTTTACAAGTAAATTTTTCAAAACGGCGTTGATGGCAAAAGTGGTAAATTTACTTTTCTTTAATGCACTCGACATTAAAGAAAAGTGAGTTCATTTTCAAAAATCCTTATAATGTAGTTTTTCGAAATTTTTGAAAATCATTACCCGATAATAATTCCCTAAACGTTTTAACTGAAAACTATCCAAAATTCAAAATGGAACTTGACAAATTCATTAGCAGCAGAACATTTACTATCTATGCACAATTTATTACTCTTAATTATTGCCACACTTGTGCTTTTCGTCGGCAGTGACACTTGCACTTGCACTTACACTTTTTCACTTGTCACTTTATTATAATATATAACACTTGTGTCGTTTTCGTAGTTCGTTACACGCAATGTCCTTATCACATAGAAGTTGTTATACATATAACTGATCAGTTCAAACACTCGTTTACAGAGTGTGGAATATGTCCCGTGCGTTATTCTTTGAATAACGCTTGTAGGAACACTCGCTGAATCAGCTACCACTGGAAATTAAAGGATGTATTTTATTAATATAGTTAGTTATTGAAAACTTCATATTATATGTTTTTGGCTCTGTGTCATTGATCTAGTTGTTATGTAATGCAGATCAACTAAATTTCAAGAGGTCCTAGGTTTGACTCAGAGTTCAAGCCAAATCAAAATTATTCATATTTTTTGTTTAGAAGTTCTCAGTAATAGCCCAGAGTTGCAAAGCTGGTGTTGTCTCACGATAGGAGCTATACATGCTAGCCACTAGACCAGCAAAGCAGTCAGATCACGGTGACTTCATTACATGTAAACTTTTTTTAATGTTGGGAAATACCTACCATCTACATGCATACAGGTGGTTATGTGGGAGTCACCAACTAAAGAAGCCAGTACTACCCACTAAAACCTAACAGAACCACCCCCATCTTTACGAGCGTCGCAGGATCGCTTAACGCTTAAGGTGTCTGCCCACTACACCGTCTCATACCATGACCGTGCTAGGACCGTGTCAGGCAAATCCAAACAATCAAAACCGTGACAGATCACACAACCATGGGGTTGCTCCATCGCTCACTGAACTGGGCAACCTCGCTGTGTGTCCGTTGGCTCCACTACTGGGTGAATGACCACCCCCCCCCATTCCCCCAACAAGGTACCAACCTCCTATTGGCCATAGCGCGTCGCTTAGCGGTCTGCCGCTGGTGCTCGAACTCGAAGTCCTCCTCGGTGAGGTTCAGGCGCGGCATGTGGTACATGAGGTAGTCCTCGGCCAGCACGTGCTCGGGCGGGTGGCGCAGCGCCTCCAGCGTCTCGCACAGTCCGCACGCGCGCTTGCGCACCTTGGCGGAGCCCAGCGCGCCCGCCAGGATCACCAACGCGGCCTTGAATAGCACCTAGGAATTGTTTATTGTTATTACTAAATATTATAAAACAAAGTTCTCCGCCGCATCTGTCTGTCTGTTCGCGATAAATTCAAAAACTACTGCACCTATTTTCATGCTGTTTTCACCAATGGATACTCTGTCCTATGTTTTCAAGGAAGATTTTAGTACATAATTTGTTAAATTTTTGTATACATTGGCTAAAATATAACGATATTTGTTGGAAGGTGTCGGAAAAAAATTAGCCGCCTGGGAGCTTTCAACGAATACGCTGCCTAAACCCTTTGAGATATAATAAAATATATGATCATGTTCTCCCGACCGTTTCCGGCCACGGCGGCCAATCTCATTGAGACTAGCCAACTGCGCGGGAGATATTATAGTGCACAAGTGTACGCGCAGACACAAGTGCACTCTCTATTCCTGTCACTCTCATATTCTGGTGGGACGACCACTCGACACGACCAGTGAGAGTTAAGGCGCAGGACCGACGGCTTTTCGTGCTCTCCGAGGCACGGGGGTGAAACACCGCCAACTTCCCAACTCCGGGCTGTTACTGAGGCTTTACAGAAAGACTCAATAACTAAATTTGGCCCGACCCGGGACTCGAACCCAGGACCTCCGGGTGTGCAGCCGTACTTGCTAGCCACGACACCACCGAGGCAGTTATTATATATAATAAAATATATGGTGGAATTGTGTATCTTATATAGGTCTACAGAAAAATCTGCGATAGCAAAATATGTCTATCTCTTAAGGATAACATACTATATCCATTTTAATTAAAAACGCACCTAGGGACGAATCCGAGCAAAGCGAAGGCGAGTCGCTAGTTATAGTATATAATAGTGACTTATTTATAACTTATTCGTACTTATTACATATCTAAGTATTTAGCTGTAGCCTATGTACTTCAGCTCATAGTCCAACTGTATATTAAATTTCATCCAAAAATCCCTCCAGCCGTTTCATTGCGAAGAAGTCTCAATTTTATTAGTAATTATAATAAAAACACTATTATAAATGTTAGTCTAATTACAGGAAGATACAGAAAACAGATTTAATAATATTATAATTAAAAACATTTTGTCCCGATAAAATACATCTGTAATACGTACGTAACTACGTAGAACATAAAAAAAGATTGACCGATTTTTTCAAAATTCCACACATAAAAAAGAAATAAAAAAATCATAATTAAAAACATGGACATAAACATTACCCTCCTTTGCTGTCGGATAAAAAAATGAGCGATAAAGTAATTCTGCATGACTCCATTAAAATGGGGCATGTTCTTTTGAATTTTAGTAATATGTTAGTGGCTTCTCTACCCGATAAATCCTTCTAAATAATAACCTACCTATTGTATACGTGATATGCATAAACCACAATGGAGGGTTCCGCTGTAGTTTTAGTAAAAGCAATCACAGTTACCTATCCACTAACGGTTTCCATAGCAAAAACAAAAAGAAATAGAGGTGTCAACCTTGACGCCCTCGCAGAGGAAGCAGTCCCAGACGCGCAGCAGGCTGTCCCAGGGCAGCGTGCGCGTGAGCGCGCACAGGAACCACTCGGTGGCGTACAGCACGGGCTCCACGCGGTGCTTGGCCAGGTGGCGGTGCACGGCGGGCGCGGTGCGGCGCAGCAGCGCGTGCAGGATGTCGCCGTCCCTCTGTAGCACCTGCGCGCATCATACACAGGCTGTCAGATAAATATCACGACAAAAAAGGGAAGGTAGACGAAAGGCTAACTGACATAATAAGATATTAGTTTTTTCTTGTAATTTTTTTTGAAAAAAAAAACATTTTTTTATCTATCTCATGTTGCTGTGCGTAGACAAAAGTAAAAAAGTTAGAGCATTTTTTCGGCTGTATAATCGCATTAACAATTAAATCCGATATTCGAATTGAATTAAAATGAAAACTTAACTGATCATTTGCGTGCTTAATGGACAGATTTTGATGAAATTTGGTATGATGATAGCTAGCTATCCGGGTCAACATATAGGATACTTTTTATAGCGAGAAAATATGTCATTTCTGAGAAATCTATACTAAACGTTAAAATGTAAGTAGGGACGAACCCAAGCGGAGCGAGAGTGAGTCGCTAGTACCTATATAATTTTTTTTTATATAATATTATACCTATACAAAAATGTTATATGGATGTATGTACTACTTCTTTTACGCTAAAACTACTGAACGGATATGGATGAAACTTTACAGTCATACATAAGGTTTATTTATAAAGATATAGTAATAGTTAAAAAAAGCGAGCCGAGCAATAACGTTATTTTTAATATTTTGCAGCGGCCCTAGATGCCTTACTTCCGTCTTTCCGCTGCACTTTCGGCATTCCTTCATCTGTACATATAATAAAAGTGTGAGTCGAATCTATACATTAAATATTTATTGGAAAATATTATTGGAATAGTCATTGTTATCTATACAGAGGCCAAATCTATAGTTTTTAGATTTTTTTTCAGTCTGGGAACGCATCACGAGAAAACCACTGGACAGATTTTGATGAAATTTGGTATGATGTCAGCTGGTTATCCGGGTCAATATATAAGATATATTTTACTGCTGGAAAATATCTTAGCTGCGTGATCTCTACACTAAACGTTCAAAAGTAACTAGGGACGAACCCCAGCAGAGCGAGGGTGAGTCTCTTCATCTTGTAATTAATGACAAAGTTCTTTAAAGGAAAGATTTTTCCCATTTGATTAACAGATATCCATCATTCATCATACCGATAGCTTATTTTGTAATAATAATAATAATACCTTATTCACGCTCAGACCACACTACTGGGCCTAGAGCTAAAATTTTGCTTAGACCAACAATATCATATTTACATATATCCTCTTACATATTCTATCAATATATAATATAAAATAAAAATAACTAGAATATATATGCATATTGAATTTTAAACATATTGTTTTCCACATGATCTCCGCTTGAAATAGGATCGCGCAAAACACGGAGCTTGTGTTCGGATATCTTTGACCGATTGAAATGAAACTTAATTATGTTCATAATTCGCCTGCATTACTCACACATTAAATAAATCTAATTAAAACCCTCCCACTCGTTCTCGAGCGACGTTAAACAAAAATACATATAATTTGATAACTGTTTTATACCTTCTATTATACCAGTAAGCGACACCTAGAAAAAATGCTTACAAAATATTTTATTTACAACTTTGACCCCGTTTTAAAGGGGTCAAGTGCTATTGTCCTTTTTATTATGTACTAACCGGGGACGATGTCTTAATCTAATTTTGATGAAGTCCTTTGAGTTCAACGTGGTCCTAGACTTCATACAAACCTACCCTATTTTCCAAATTTTCTATTTTTTCTGACAACTCTTTCCATAATACTTTCTTAGATTTACGCGAATGTTTGACATTTTTAAATAAAACTATCTTTTCGGATTATTTCGCGGATTTATTTTGATTTTTGGTTCATGGTCAGACCATGGATGCTGTAAAGCATTCGAAACGTCGGGAACCAAAAATCAAAACTCTTTCCATTTTTTTCCCTAAAAACTTCAATCCAACTATGACGAACTCATAAAAAAATACAAAAATCATCCAAATCAGTCAAGCCATTCTCATGTAATGTACTATGTCATTCTCATGTAATGTATTAACCAACAAGTAACATATCATATTTATTGTATAGATATTTTGAAAACTTTATTACAATTGATATACAATAGTTCACTCACCTCCAAACCAGGGTTATAGTACCCGCTAAGGTATTTATCGCTGATGCTGACGAGGCACCAGAAGGCCTGCACCGCGGGCATGTGCATGAGGAGGAAGGCAGCTACCGGCGCTTGCGCTTGGAAGTATCCCACTTTGGGATTGAGAACCGAATACGCTTTTAACACGCAGAATAATTCTTGTTGACTGGAAAAGATACATTTCATATCTTAATTGTAAGGTCGGAAACTATTGTTTTTTTTTGAATTTAAATAATACATACCTATATAAAGGCTCCATAATTAACCGACTATAAATCTAGTACAATAACTCTAAAATTACTAAAGTTGGCCTGGTCAGATAAAAGTTTGGGTGTAATTGGATAAGCATTATGGACTGAGTTTCAAGAGACAACACTTAGGCTGGAGACATAATAACAAATACCTATTTTTTTAATAAAACAACTGGATAAATATTTCAAAATATCATGTAGTTGTATTTGATCGGACTTAGGAAAAAATCTCTAAATTCATAGAAAATACGCCACAACAAACTCATAAAATAACAACACTATATTATAAAGGAAGTGAAATTTAAGTCGAATTTCCGGTCAAGCCAAATAAACGGTACTACAAAATAAAATGACTTAGATTACTAAAATTAGACACAACATTGCAAATATAATGCAAAACTTATAGTTATGTATAGTTAACCACATATTTTCATATTCATCAACAACTTATTTAATTATAATGATAAGGAAGCAAAACATCTAGTTAGAAAATATGATAAAAAGTTTTTATAACTAGAGAGCTGCTCTCTGAGCTAAAACATTAGCTCACGGCCTCTTAAATTCTCTGAAAGTACCGCGAAGAGCTAAATTTTTATATAAAGCTTATTTCGTTTAAAATGGTCACGTACGCTGTGATGTCTGCGCAGTTTAGCCTGCACAGATAAACTGCAGTGTGCGTGGCAGTTTTCTGCACAGTCATTATCAAATACACGGGCGGTACAACACTTTCAAGCTGTATTGTTTACGATAGATACTAAACGGACTCATATTTCAAATATTCACATGCAATATTTAACTTGAAATATTGCAACACTATGTACAAAAGACCTACGTATTTTGCTAGCGAACTTCAATTCGTACGTATCGTAAATAACAATTATGATTTGTAAACAATTGCATGTTTATAGTTTTACTGCACCTGCCTTATCGGAAGGCAAACGAAACGAATCACAGCAACTTAACAGATTTCCTTCGCAATGGAAACAAATAGAGACATTCTTATCATACTCTTTGGAGCAAAAATAGGATTGTACATGAAATTAAGTTATAAACAAATATATGTCAAATATATTACTTGACTTACCCAAGACCCTCTTCTCTTATAAACATTTCATGGTACGGAAACTGTCTGTGCAAGTCTTTTCTAATGTCTTCCATACATTTTGGATCGCCGGGTGCCTTTAAAAGTTCTTCATATTCGTCTGGATGTTTCTCAAGTAGTAACTGACCTCCACATAAGTAAAGCCAGGCTTTGGGTCTGACTGAGGCAGGAATTCCTAAAAAAAAGGTTTAAATGAATATATTGACACAAATGCCTAAAAATTTCAATTGATGTTTCATGTTTATTTTAATTTACCTTTCCGGCACCTCTCTCGAACTTTTTTATAATTTTTACTCATAAACGCCTCCCAATTGTTCAACATTCGTAGCCATTTTTGTTCTCTTTTCAATATAGTGCTAGGCGATACAGTCCTCTTTCTAAAACAAATTAATATTAAATTATTAAAAAAACAAAACTTGATGGAAATACCAAAAAGTAGCACCAAAATAAACTTTGGTATAATCCCGTATCAGACGCCAATTCTATTAGCAACATTATTATGTGTTGGTTTAAACAAGTTAAGTCTGAAAATAAATAAACAAAATCTGACCTTCCTACTTAATAGCATGCATGTGAAACTCGCCGGCTAGAAAGCCGGTACTACCCTCTAAAACCCAACAGAACTTCCCCCGTCTTAATGGGGCGTCGCAGATTCACTTACGCACTCAACCACGACACCCCGACGGCAGGCCTGCCGAAGTAGACCACAACAGCCATGGGGTTGCTCCAACGGTACACTCTGCTATCAGACAAGTACCAGGAGTAACCCGCTAGGCACACCTCCCACCGAGGTGGGCTGCCTCCCAGTGCGTTTCTTGGCTTCGCGCCCGGCTAGATTGCCGAACGCTAATGAGTCCCTCCACCACGACGAGGTGAACGCACGTTGTGGGGGACATCGGGGGCCTACCCTACTTACCGCAACACTTATTAACTTTTAATTGAGATTAAAGTAGATAAGAAATCGGGTTGCATATTAAGCCATATGACATACTCTTATTTTTCTTAAAATAAATTACTTAATATTTTTGTAAATAAATAAAATTTTCATTAAAAAATAACAAATAGGTCACATGCGAACTACAAGTTACAACCTATCACGTCTTATGGTCACTTAGTACATATTACTAGTTGAGAGTTTAGTACTTTTATGGCACGAACAACATACCATTCTTTGATTGCGCTTTGTTTGCCTTTAAAGTCTAAGGTTAAATGAGATAAAATATGCTTATTAATGAATTAAAAACATATTTTAGAACTTGTAGTTCTTTACGTTAAAAGAGTAAAAAATATATTATATAACTAGCATTGCCCGCGGCTCCGCCCGCGTTCAGATGACCAAAAACTAAATTCTTAGGTGTTACATATTAGTATACTCTTACATTGCAGTTTTTGTATTTTTCCTCAGAAATAAGATATTTTCCCGCGGTAAAAAGTATCCTAGGATCGCGCGCTACATCGCCCGGTTTATATAGCTTGAGCAGGCGGTCGAGCGATGCGGGGCAGAGGGGATGGACTCGCCGTAGGCATCTCAATGCTCGCCAAGCATTAAAAATGTTTCGCTACTAATTACTTCTAACAACGATATCTCAAAAACTATTCATCTGATTGATTTAGTGTAAAGAGCAATTTTAATCTGCATTAAATGACTAAGCTAACTAAAATATTCATTTGGATAAGGATTAATACCGAACTAAAGAAAATAACTTTGAAAATAACGTAATGTTTTTAATTAAAAATGTTAACATAAAAGTGGTTATTGTAAGTCAACCGTAAGAGATAGAGATATGCTATCGCGGACTTTTTTGTAGCATTTTTATAGATTTTGAATTCTCTAGTACATTACTTAACTGTATCTTTGCTAGTTTACGCGGCGTTCGCGTGGAAAGTTCCCATTTGGCGAGATTTTTTGCGACCTCTTCAACATTTGTCGCCGTATTTCAGCTAATTTACATAAAAGCATAATAAATTATATACCTAAACCTTCCTCAAGAATTACTCTTTCTATTGTTGAAAACCGTATAAAAATCCGTTCAGTAGTTTTCGAGTTTATCGCGTACAGACAGACAGGAGGACAGACAGGAGGACAGAAAGACGCGGCCGGGGGACTTATTTTTATAATAAGTATAGATAGCAAAATAAATTCATAATACAGTCAGGAAAAATTAGTAATAAAACTAATCCATATCCATACTTATTATAAATGTAAATATTATAAATGTGAATGTGTGTGTGTTTGTTTGTTTGGTCTTTCTTTCACGTCGAAACCGAGTGACGGATTGGCGTAATTTTTGTGTGTGGAGATAGTTGAAGGGCAGGAGAGTGACATAGGCGACTTTTTACCTCGGGAGATTATCTTATTCCCGCGGTAATACACGTTATCTATAACAAAACCCAAAAAAATACTTATGATCAGAATTACATACATGAAACTTGGTATTATTGCTCTTCAATACAATTAAATAAATAATAAATATGTATTTAGCATTTTACGAAATTCATCCCCTAAGAGGGTTAAATAGGGAATGAAAGTTCGTATAAAACCTACTTTTTTAGAGCTTTTCTGTAGTTTTAGCGCGAGCGAAGCCGCGGGTTCTGCTAGTTTTTATATAAATTAGACACAAAGTAACAGTAGTAAATTTTACAAGACGAATATAATACGCATCTACTCCAGCCTATATTATAGTCATATGAAACTGTATACTAAAATTTAATGCTTAAACTGTCTTTTAAACATGAAATTTTAACAATATTATAAATATAATATATTTACCATATTGTATTTTAATTCTTAAAAATATTATTATATAAAAAAAAGTTAATTTTCGGTCTCTAAACCAAGATTAAAGATACCTATCTCAAAATGAAATGAAATTTGTATGATCTCATTTTTTTTCTAAAATTACCAAAACACTTTCAACGAAAATTAAAAATTACTTAAGAGTAAAACGTGTCCGTTTAATACTCTCCAAAGAGCAATAGATGGATACAATATATTTCTTTTACTTTCAGGGGATGAATTTAGAATAATCTGATACACGTATTTCTTCGTATCACTAAAGAGTTTGGAAATTTGTATATTTTCATACAAATATCGAAACTCTTTTGCCAAACCGTTATTTTTAAACAGCGCGAGCAGAGCCGCGACCAAATACTAGACGTCCTAAAATAAAAAAATCTTTATGTCACGACGGCAATATCGCACAGCTATGCTGCGCCGTTATCGTATAGCGCGACCAATGCAACCGTTATCGCGGGTTCGAGTTCGATCGATAGCCAGGTGATTGACTCATCATAGTGTACAACATGATTACTAGAAATCTTTATATCACAATTCACGTAAAGTTTAGTAAAATCAAATATCTATATGATAAAACAGCCAGTCAATGATCGATCCACTTCAATACTTTACGATTGCAAAATTATATTTCTTAATCACCAATAGTTATCAAATTCAATTAGTCATATAATTTCCAGTTAAAAAGTACTCGTATAAAATATTAATAGATAATGATTTGCGTAAAATCCCGTCGCAAATGAAATTAGTTTTCCCACGAGAACAGAAACATTAGGTTTCATTGCAACAAAAACTATGCAGTCGTCTTTGAGAATTTACAATGTACCGCTCGATCATCACATAATACTTATACATATATATACTACACAAAGTTTTGTCCCTGTCCGTTTGTTAGCTTAAAACTCGCGAACCATTTATTCGTTTTACATTATTCTTTTTTCAGTATGGAAATACGTCATCAAGCGTGGTTGTTGTTGCTACCAATCTTTTTTCTGACCGGAAGAAAACTCGCAGTCCAATTATATGAGTTTCTAAGAAACGCGGGATATATATAGGTAGTTAAGGCATAGGCGAAGCAAGTATAAGATAATCGTATATAGCACCTACCTATTGACAATATGAAATAATAGATTTTATTAATTTAAAAATAATTCAAGTTTGTAAAAATATTTCTGTTTTTCTTGTTATAACACTCCTAAAGTAAAAAATAACGTCTGGATATCCTCAATTTATTCAATGAATTAAAATTATTACACCGGATGAAGTTACTAAAAAACTATGCATATTCACCTACCATAATATTCATAATAAACAATTTTAAACCAAAACACTTGAACAAACACTACAACATATTGTGACTCATTGAACATAACATCAGAAAAGGTAAAATACATTGATAATTGATATTTCAAATTCCCAGTTTAGCCAATCCTTTAATATACTTGACATAACTAAGGGAAGTTGCTGGGAGCAAACTATGAGACAACTTTTGTGGAATAATCTATACTAATAAGAGGAAAGATTTTTTGTTTGTTTATACCGAACAAGCTCGGAAACTACTGAACCGATTTAGATGAAATTTGGTAAGAAGATAGCTTGAGACCCAGGGAAGGACATAGGATAGTTTTAATCCCGGAAATCATCCCTTAAGGGGGTGAAAATGTGGATGAAATTTGTATGGGGAAGCAACCTAGGGACGAACCGACGAACGATTATTAAATAGTGACATTGGGCAACATGAAAATAATATTATGCTTCTTGAACTAACTATATTGTTACCATTATAGCATTAAAAATCAAATAACACCAGCAGGTTTATTCTTTTAATTTGTTGCAAAATGTACTTTAGAAAACTCAAATATAAAAACATTCTAAAATACTACATAAAATTATGATATCCATTTAACTTTTCGAGCTATAATAAGAAAATGGCGTAATTATTGTAAAGAATATATGTAATAAAATATGCCTGTTGATGAATGTTGTTTACTTGGAGGCAGCAATTACATTTCTATGCATAAAATTTTAATATAGAATGTATTGCTGATATACATATGAGATAATGGCCTATATTAATTTATCTCAATAGGGATAAAAAATGTAATCTAAAATTCTTACAAATACAAAACATTTTAATGCAATCATAAAAAGAAAGCTTCTATCTGATAATTAGCAGCAACTTATATATACAATTATATAACTTAGTATGAACTATGAAATAGATAATGAAGAAGAAAGAGGCGAAAAGGGTTGGATGTGGTAAGTTAAATAAACATTAAGGTACAAAAACTGCTACTTTAATTAAGGTAATATTCTATTCAAACATGAACTAACAAAATAAAAATAAAAAAATAATGACTGCATTCCCTAACGATAATATGCAATATGTTTATCATTTTTATTTTTTTTATTTATTTAGCATTTAAAACAAAGACTATAAACATTTAATATAAATGTAAAATTATAAAAACCACTGAGGTTTGACTTATTGCTTATTGTAAATTATATGTTGTTATACAAAACATATGAAACAGATTTGGTGTGTAATTAACATGATACTTGTGATGATGTCATGATTTAATTAGAATGATTTGTTATTCAATAAAAATATGTAATTCTATCTCGTCTAAATTGAACATGTAGTGAGAACTCTTGACACTTCTATATCTTACTACAAGGCTTATGTGAACTAATAATACTTAATTAATATTTCTTGTGCAGCGTAATATTAGATTTTTCCTTCACATCACTTGAGAAAGTTTTTTAGAGAATTGAAGGTGTTGACATTGTTTCATGATGGTACTTGATATATGCCCGATTTCACCAACATCCCATAAGCTACCACCTACATATCGGATCCCTAGGTTGAAAGTTCCCCTAAACTAGCCCCAAAATTAAATTTCGTTTTACCATCGTCAGAGCCCGTATTTCTAGTACCTACCTATATTTAGGTGGCATTTTAACATTTAGGTTCACTCCTAACTGTCGGTGAAACAGAAACTGTCCCCTAACAGCCCTCTAACCATGCTTAGGGGATCCCTTAAACTTAGGTCATGTTGGTGAAATCAGCCAATAGACTTTTAAATCTAATGTAAACACTCTTATTTATGTTATAATGTTAATAGAATAATTTAGAAGTAAGACACAGCATCAAGGTTAAAGTAACTATTAATTTAGTTTATATGCCAATTAAACTGTCGAAACATATAATATGTATGGAAGTTGTGAAACAGTTTTTTAGTAACATGTAGGGTTCTTCATTTCTACTGTATATATTGGTATAACAATTAATTTAATTAGGTAAACCAATGACAGTATTTCTTAAGATTAACGAAATACTAACTTTTTTTTACTTCATACATTTAAAAGAACAACTGTTGAGTTTCTCGCCAGTTTTTCTCAGCAGAAGTGCTTTTCGAGCCGGTGGTAGCTTCCTCGTGGACTACACTGACTCTTTCATTAAATTGAAGATTCAAAAGTACTAGTAGTAGTACTTGTGATAAGTCTAATTGAATAAGGTTTATTTCATTTCATATATTAGTAAATGTCTATATCACAACTAACCATCCATGAAATATTAACATACTCTTACAAAGTTATAGGCCTGTATTTTATTGAGCCCTTTTTAACGTCCAACTACTGGGTACGGGCCTCCCTTCAATACAAGGAAGATCAGGCCATAGTCCACCATGCTGGCCAAGTGCGAGTTGGCGGACTTCACATGTCTTTCGAAAACTTGCTAGGTTCTCTCAGACATGCAGGTTTCCTCACATGTTTTCTTTCACCGTAAGACAAGTGGTAATCACGCACATGAAAATGTCACAGGTGCGAGACCCAGATTTGAACCCGCTTCACTCGGTTTCCCAAGCGAGCGCATTACCACTTAACTGCCACTGCCTTTATTAAATAAAGATAAATATTTACAATAAACATCATGAACATTTAACACATACATTATACATACATCTGGTTTATTCCCCTACAGGAATTCAGTTACAAAACTCAATTAGATAATAGGTTGGAATAATATTATGTGATTCATATAACACAAATCTATTTTATATTGCGTAAAATGATACGTCACTTGACCTACACTTATTATAAAGTGATAAATTTTAATATACACTCGTTTTTGCTGAACTCTAATTCTTTGCTAAAATAAATATAGCCTAAGTTACTCCTTATAACATCAACTAGCTTCCAGTGAAAGTACCATTAAAATGGGTCCAGCCGGTTCGATGCTTAGCCAGACCAAGCAGACCGATAGACAAAAATTTTAAATGTTGTGTTTTTCTTATAAGTACCATGTATAATTTCTTATGCATTTAGTAAAAAGCTGTTATTTTTACATTACAAACAGACACTTCAATTTTATCTATCTATATAGATTTTACTTCATATACTGGCGGGACTATTAGTCCTCTATGCAGAGGATATTTCAGTGCCGAAGAATTACGTCACCCACGTGATCCTGGAATGCGATTCAGTGGCTCATCAACGCAAAGAAATCCTCGGATCAGTGAGGTCACTCCGCAAGGCCTGCGAAGTTCCCAGGAAACTTCTGCACTTCTGGGCGGAACTGGGCTGGCTAGATTAGCCAGGATTCAGGACGCACAAAGGACCAACCTAGAGTTTAAGTGCGGAAAATTAGTCCACCCTACATTACATTACTTCATATACTTTATTGTGACGTCTTGTTTGTTAAAGGTCCAGATTGTACAATAAAACTCTCATATGTCAGAAAGTTTTCAGTCCTCAGTGTGAATATCTCGTTTTAATTGATCAATTCTCAATCTCTTCACTGTCTTCTCCATTCTACACGACATTGGTGAAGTAAATTGTGCCCGAATGGCACACCTATGAGCCACAGACCATTGATTTTCCTTTATTGGAATTCATTATTAGGGATTTTTTGACTATAAAACTAACAGCCAGTAAACATTTAAATTCAATAATTGCATATACACTAGGAAATTATTGCAGTTTGTTATATTTGAAGGAATTAATTATCATTTTGTGATTAGATAACAACAACTGTGTCACCTGCAGCTTTACAAAACAAATTATTTTATCTATATATTTATTTATACTATAGATAATACCAATTTAAGCATTTCCATGTAATTTCTAAAATTTATTTCAAGATCACTTATCTATATAAAGTATTATAAGGCAGGCATTAAGCAAATTAAACTAGGTCTGAGTGAAACAACCTTCAAATTACACACATAATTAGTATGAAAGAATATAATTACTCACTTCTTACATTCTAATTGTTGAATGCAATAATACTTCACACTGTTTTAAAATTTGACTGTAGAAACTTATATATGCATGTGAATGTAACTGTTAATAACAATAGCAGATAATTAGTGTATGTGAAAGTTTTTATATAAGGAGTATTAACTTTTTAAACATAATATTTAAGAAGATGAACTTCTTCATGAACAAAAATACTATATTTATTGTATAAAATTTGTTTTCTTATTATAATAATCTCGGATGAAAAATTATTGAACAATACTAGTGACTTACACTCGCTTTGCTTGGGTGCATCTCTAGGTATGTTTTAATTTTTTTGAGCGGAACCCTAATTCTCTTTCTAAAATAAATAAAGCCCAAGTTACTCCCTATAAGATCAGCTATCTACCAGTAAAAGTACCGTCAAAATCAGTCCAGCCGTTTCGGAGATTATCCGGAACAAACAGACAAAAATTTAAAAAATGTTTTTTTCTGGACCATATATAATTTCTGCATTTAAAATAAAATGTTATTTTGACATTACAAACAGACACTTTATTTTAGTTATCTGTATAGGTAATACAAAATGGAATGAAGAAATAAGGACACTATAAAAATATAAAAAGTAATATACTTATTTTAGATCAGTACAGTTGTGTTTATTTTACATATTCTTAATAAATTCAAGCATTACTATCATATATACACGGCAAAAGTTTACTCACGGTTCTGGACTATACTGAGCTCCTCCAAAAAATCCATGTCTGTCGGGTTGAGTAGTCACAGAAGAACATATAGATGCATTATCCTGGTCCCTCTCTCCTCCCGCACTTTTAACACTTTTTTGTAAAGACATTTTGATGACACTCGAATAAAATGCTCGCTTACTTTACAACATACAACATCACAACAAATATTAAAACAGATGGACAGATTGGGTGTGCGAAAATTAAAAAACATGCAACTCTTCCGGATGTTGACGCCCGTAGTCAAAATTCACATCAACAGCCAAACACTTCGCGCACAAAACTCCAGACGACCTCATAACCAGAAAAACATTACTGTTAAAAATACGTATGCAAGAAAATATGGTCAGAGAACGTGCCCAGGTTAGAACTAATTATCACTTTGTAGCAAAACTGCAAAACTAAAACATTGCGTGTGGTTTAAGCACAGAGTGCAGTAAAAACTAAAAAAATATTTTTTTTATATCGAAACAATGTATATGCATACGTCATTTTTCAATACAATACAGATTATTATATCACGGCACAGATAACTATAAAAAGTCATTGTACGTAGACTCAGTGTTAGATATCTATAAAGCTAAAATGGACCATAACTGTCGACGTCGACGTAGCTAGCGCCGACCTCGGCACCACACCCAATAAAATAAATAATAGATATCTATAAGATAATGGAATGTTGAGTGGCTAGTAGGTTATTATTATCAAGTTTTTAATACGTTTTTTGTATGTAACAAATATATTTAAAGTATTTCAAATAATGAGAAAGATTTCTTGAAAGGAGGGCGCCACACGTATGGCTTATTAATTATTATATTCAGCCTGACTTGATATCTCTTTTATACCTGGTTTTTTACTTCTATTCAGAGATGCGCAAACTAGGTCCTGGAGTGGATTGAACATGGAATAGTTCCTTTCCATAAAGGAACTGTGTTCACGAAACATGTTCGCGGAACTATCTAGTTCCGATAGTTCATCCGATCCGATCGTTCCGATTTTAACAGGTTATCACTGTCATCGGTTCCCGAGGACAGCATAGCGGGAGATATAGTTTTAATTGACCGACTTAAAAAAAAGGAGGTTATCAATTCGACACGTATGTATATAATATTATTAGAACTGCAAGATATTAACATAATATGATATATTAGGGCTTTGAAGCAAATATACAAAATTTTATAGGTGTATAGATGTATGTATGTATGTATGTTTGTTTGTTTGTTTGTTTGTGTGTATGTATGCTTGTCCACGCATTTCGCCGAAACTACTATTCCGACCGACGTGATGATGCCTTTTTATTTGCTTACATTTATTTTAACTTAGGGAATAGTAAGAATTTCATCAAAATCGGTTCAGTGGTTTTGAAGATATGGATAAAAAAGTGTATTTTTAGTAATTACTACTTTTTACAAAAACTATTTCAGTTTTAACTTAAAACTAAAAATTACGAAATAAAAAAGGTTTTAAAAAAAATTAAACCAACTTCAAAAAACTACGGTGCTTTCACGCGCAATGTGAATCTAGACGAACGCCACAAAGTACAAAAATATTGTGTCAAAAGTGAAAGAATACTTCACACTGTTATAATTTAAAAATATATTATTAATGTTTTAAAAGTTCAAAACGAAAATCAGATTTAATCAATGAATTATCGACTTTAACGCACAGTGAAGTTGGCACATTATTAATTGTAATAGCATAGTAAGAGATGATATTATAATTATTGCGAATACTCGCACACGCGCAATAGTCACTACAGTAGTTTACACACAGTACCTACGCGATATAATGGCGCTTCCACACAGCAGTGCAGCAGATAACATCACATACCTAACATTTTTTAACATGAAATCATTTTAAATCCACGAAAAAAAGGAGAAGGTTCTCGATTCGACACGTATAAATATATTTTTTTACTGTTTGACCTCTTCTTACTTTGGTACTAGGTACCTACTATATCTACACTAAAAATGGAAAATAAAAACTTAAAAAAAAACTACTTCAAATAAATAAAAATATTGTAAATAATTGTTTAACTTATGAATTATTTTATTATATATTGATCTTAATTTTTAATTATTTATTGTAATTATTTTTATTAATTATAAATTCTAATTCATATTAGGTATTGTAAAAATTAAGAAAAAAGTTTAAATTAATAAACATTCTTTATATACATAATAATTAATATAACATTAGATCTAATACTATTATTATAATATAACTGAATATGAAAGGGTTTTATTAATAATTAATAAATACCTACTTTCTTAAATTGTTTTAATAGCATTTACAGTAAGCGCAAGAAATGAAAGGTTTTTTATTTTAATTTATTTATTTAATGTATTTAGTTTGTGTTCGGTTTTTGGCACGTGTTTAAGATTCTCGGTGCTTGTGGCAAGCGCCCAGCATGTGGACGCGGCTTAACAGATGTTTACTAAACTCTTGTGAGGAAGCACCTTAAAATTTAATATACAGCTATAGCTCGGGTAGGTTCGGCAAGAGTCGGTTACGTTCAGTTCAGTCAGTCACTCCGGTGATCGGTCCAATATATTCGTTTACTCGCTCCATCTCACTCCTGCACATGTGGAACTATATGGAACTGTAAACCTGTTTCAATTGACAATTGACATCGCGAATTGGAACGATATCGTTCCGACCTAGGACATAGTTCCGGGAACTATTTCAATCCGGACCTACGCATGTCTACTTCTATTGTATTCGCATCTTACCTGTGTAATGTATTGTACCTGGAAATTAGACCAGCCGAAGAAAGAATTGAGAAGGAGAGCTGCATCCTGCGATGGTCCTGACAGACTGATGGATTAACACATAGCCTAAACTATGATCGTACAAACGTGAAATTAGGAGGAAGTATTCCATATATGATGTAGGCATCTAATAAGAAATGATTTTTCGAAATTAATGCCCTTAGTGGGTAATAAAGAGGACTAAAAATTGTATCAAAGTCTGTCATTCTTAATGAGAAATACACAGAAAGTGGTGTTTAACTTTAGAATAAAAGAAAAGAGAAATATATTTATTTATTTTTTTAGAAATCCATCCCTTAAAGGGTAAAAGAGGGTAAGTTTATATGGGCAAAGAATTATTTATGATAGAATTACTTTAAACTTGTTATTTATGCTCTTCGATACAATTAAATAAATACGCATTTTAGCATCTTTCGAAATTCAATCCCATATGAGGGTAAAATGGGGGGATGAAAAATGTATGAAACTCTATAATATGTAAAAAAGTACAAAAAATAAAAAAATCATCTGTACGCGATTTAAGAGTTTTAAAATCACTTTCTGTCAAATAATGTCCACATAGCTTTAAATATAAAAATTGTGATTTCGCTAATTTTGTTCGTTTTATTGCTTTAGCCCTTTCTTTAACGTCAGGGAATTTCTATTTGTTCTGTCCGCCTGGGGAAGTGGAACGGGTTATGTGGGGCTCCTGCCGCGCAAAGATGGTAAGCGGACGGCAGCCTACCCACTAAAAACCTGACGAAAGGCCACTTTGTCGCCACAAGGCTGGAGTCACAGGTATCCGGATTCATCTGTAGACCCCAGCGGGTTATTGCTTTAGCCCACAATTTCTTCAGTTTTTGAGTTTTGGGACAAATGATATCCATTTTTTTACATCCTAATTCCTAGCACTGCATAATTTGTCATTTTCGTTAAATATTAAATAAAATTAAAACAAAAATCCATACACGATATGGAGCAGCTTTACAATATACTGAGGGCCAGTGATCGCGACATCAGGCAGGAGAAAAAAGCAAAATCCTTCTCCATAAGAAAACCAGTGAGGACAATAATGTAATATCAAATACATATTATTTTGAAACAATAAATTATTGCATTTTTTTCTTTGTATTAGATACATCTGAAATAGTTTTACTAAAATCAGATACTTGAAATATTTATCAACTAGGATTGCCCGCGGCTACGCCCCCGTTCAGATGACCAAAAACCAAATTCTTAGGTTTTACATATTAGTATACTCTTATATTGCAGTTTTTGTATTTTTTTCTCAGAAACGAGACATTTTCCCGTGATAAAAAGTATCCTATATGTTGACCCGGATAACCAGCTATCTCCATACGAAATTTCATTAAAATCCCCCCAGTAGTTTTTCTGTGACGCGGTAACAGACAGACAGAAAGACAGACAGACAGACAGAGAAAAATTCTAAAAACTATAGATTTTCGTCCTCTGTATTGATAATAATGTTTATGTCAATAAAATTAAAAAAAAAAATTATGTAGACATTCGGCTTATTTACAATTTTATTATATGTATAGATTTGGCTAAAAACTAATCTTGTATTCAATACAACAAGTAAAAAAATCATATACAAGATATATTGTGTGTGTGTGTGCATGTGGTTAAGGGTGCACCTTTTTCTCTCTAAAACTACCGAACAGATTTTAATGAATTTTGGCAAGGATATAGATTGCAATAGAGATATATAGATGCAATATAGATGCAACCTGTTCAGACACGCTCGCCCCTTCCCATCTACATGGAACCAACAACAGAGCTGGTGCGGCTTGTGAAGCGGCTGAAAAAACCAAAGCATACAAATACAGGGATCTAGGTTCTGAATATGATTTTGTTGCTTTCGGTGTCGAGACCCTTGGTCCGTGGGATCCTAGCGCTATAAGACTTTTTAAGGAAATAGCAAAAAGGTTATTCGACGTCACAGGAGACCGAAGAGCTGGCAGCTACTTCGGACAGAGAATTAGTCTAGCTATTCAAAGGGGGAACGCTGCCAGTATCTTCGGAACCTTGCCTAAAGGGACTCCTTTTAATAATATTTTTTAGTTATTATATTATGTATATATACTTAAGGTTTTTTTTTTGTTTTTTAGTTTAATGTAATTTATAGACTTAAAATATTCTGTAAATATTCGTGTGTATATTAAATGTATATTTTATTTTGATTGCAATAAGTGAAAGGACATTTCATATCAGCCCTGCGTACTATGCGAACGTTGAGCAAATCCGCTGGCAAGAGCTACTTTCATATATTTGAATAATATCTTACACTATCTGTAGATAAATATAAAAATTTGCCGTCTTTGAGTCTGTCATCTAATCACTTTGTCAAATGTCAATACTCAATTGTCATTGGCAAAGAGTATAGTTATAAAATTTATACTGGTCATTGGACAATGACAGAAGAAGCCATATTATTGAACTTTAAATGTATGAAAATAACCTCTATTTTCATATTATATTGATATAATAATTTGTAATATTAAAAGTGTACTAAGAAATTTTGTATATAATAAACTCCGACACAAAATTTCATAAAAATGTTTTCTTACAAAGATTTGGCTTTTCTTCCTAAACTAGCAAGACTCAACTCAACATCTGCTATATTTGTAAACAGGAATCCTAGAAACTTGGAACGAATGCGAATAGCTCGGAAACCAGATGGATACCATTTGGATAAACCTGGTCGAAAGTTCTGGCATATGTATGTATAGTTAAATATACTAATTAATGAACTTCTTAGTCAAGTGCATAGATTTTAGTAATAAAATCTTATTTATTTATTCATATATGTTTATAAAATTTGCTTATACAATAATTTAATGATTCTTTTTTCAGATTAGTACTGACTGTAACTAACAGGGTAGTAAAAGCAGAAGTGGTTCACTTTGTTAATGGACCTGTAATAGAGGCAAAAACATCAGAAAAAGCTCTCCGTAATCAACTTTATAGTATGACAGATACATGTGCCTATAAAAATCTTGGTAAAGTTTTTGCTCAGAGGTGCATTGAATGCGGTATTACTGAAATGAGTTGTAATTTAGAAGCAACAAAAGGGGGAAAAATTGAAAAATTTATTGACGCAGTTACTAAAGGAGGAATTAGACTGGAAGAAATGAATGTATACAAAAAACCACTTCCCTGGGATCAATACCGGACTGAAAAACCATGGGAAGTTACCGAAGAATGAAAATTAGATATAAAAGTAATTTAGGTGGTTTCAAAAAATAAATAGTAGTAATAATGTATATCTATATTCCTTGTATCTCTTGTTCCTTTTCTAATTTGAGACTAAATACTTAAAAAAAAGTGTGAGTAACCTTTATGCATGATTGAAGTAAAACTTCTTTGGCCCTGTCACAGATACCGCAATTAAAACAAATTTAAATATAATAATTTTTATAAAATATGATTCATTAATAATATGAGTAATACATAATCATTTTTATATGTAAGAATTATTAAGAGGATATATATATAAATTACAATAAATCTAACTCATATCTGCAACACTCATTTTTCCAATGTTTTGACTTGCCCTATAGTCACGCGTAAAGAAGTTTTACTTCAAAAATTACATATACTTTAGAGATGGGCAGACTATGAGTTTTGCCGACTAGCCGGTTAGTCACTTGGAAAAAGGCAGACTAGTCGGCCTAGCTGATCATTGCTTTCGAAAACGGGATGTTGAGATGTTCGGGCGGCATGTTTGTGTTTGTTTGTTTGTCCTTCTTTCACGTCGACACGGAGTGACGGATTGGCGTGATTTTTAGTGTAATGATAGTTGGAAGGCTGGATACTTTTTGCCGCGTGACATCTCATTCCCATGGGAAAACAGGTTATAATACAACCCAAAAAAAATACGTGTGTGTACTTATGTACATTGTACGCACGTAAGTACTTCTTTGTCGTAACAGAACAAAAATAGCTAAAGTTTCATTCCGTACGTCACAACTATCTGTTTGTAAAACGAATGCAGATGAATTCATCATGTCGCTTTTTGGCTGTCGGTGTGCATGCGCACTGTAAAAATTTTACTTTCATATTTTTTTCCAAACAAGCCAAAAGATGTATAACTTTAAAAATATTTATGATCAGAATTACTAGCAACTCGGTATGAATGCTCTTCAATACAATTAAATAAAAACGTATTTTAGCATATTTTGTAATTCGTCCCGTAAAGAGGTGAAAAGAGGATGATAGTTTGTATAAAACTTACCTTTGTAGAGTTTTTTTTGGAGTCTTAGCGCGAGCGAAGCCACCGTTTCTGCTAGTTTTAAATAAAAGTATTTTTCGCGGATTTATTCTGATTTTTGGTTGCCGGCATTTCGAAAGCTTTACAGCAATCATGGTCATGGGAGAGACTAATGTTTTAGACTTTATATAGTTGATAATGACAGTGCCTACAAAAAATTATAAAATGAAATTTAATGAAAATAATATTTTTCATTAATGATAATAATCCCCCTTTTTTTAAGAATAGTAATATGAATAAAGAATTAGCCGACTAGTCGGTGCTTCTGTCCAACTAATCAGTCGCCGAATATTAATATAATAATAACTTTAACCTTTACTGACGTAAATACAAAAGGGTTAAAAGACATGTTTTTTAAACTATATAATTAGCACAATCTTTGTCTAAGTATACTAACGTCTGAACTAGGCCAAGCCTGTATCTTAGACGCTAGCCTCTTCCATTTACGCAATTTATTTATGGCTAATAAATTACATGTTACATAATACTAAAAATATATATGATAAACAATGTAAACAATTTCGAGATACATCAGCGTAGGTAGTTGTTTAATTTACTAAGAACATCTACCCTCATTGTGCCATTTTTTGCCATTGTGCCATTGAAGTTAAATAGGTATATTTTATATCATTTATAGTTGTTTATTTGGAAATATTTAATATGGCCGGATAGTTGGTTTTCCCGACTAGTCGGCCACTAGTCATCCATGTCAGTCCATAAAATTAATGGAAAAAAAATCCAAAATATATGAATTATTTATTTAATTTTACTTGAATACCTATCTAATACTTTTCATATAGAAGTGTTTTATGTTATGCAACACTGTTAACATTTTTGTGATAAAAAGATTCTTTCAAAAAAAGAACTCAGTAACTTTCTGACAATGTCATTGCTATTATCAAAAAAATGTTGTATTCATAGTATATTTTTACGTTCAGATCATTACGTAGACTTTTTCTGATTTTTCGTGCTAAATTAAATTATGCACATAATTATACGAACATTTTTTTATACTTAACAATCCTAAAATATTTATAAGTTTTAATTTGTTAAACATTTATTAATAATATTTGTATTAAAATAGGTAAAGTTGAACGCTACCTTTTTCAAGGTGGGACTTTTAACAAAAATACACTTTTGGTATGTTATTTTTAAAATAAAAATTAAAAACGTCTTTTACAAAAATATAAAATATTTACAATAATTTTAAATTTGGTATTTAAGTTTCAAAAAGTGTTTTATAAATATTAAGTATCTTTTTGACCCTTGAGGTAAAAATGGCGGAAAACATGATGGCGTCTTTTTCTTTTCAAATCTGTATGAAGTTTGTTATATTATAGCTCTCTCTTTCTTTCCAATGATATTTTCCGTAATACAGTAGGCACGCGTAATGATCAATATGTCCACGTGACCTGTCGTCAGTCCAACTCCATTCGCAGGTCGCGTAATTGCAAATGCAAAATGTCGAAACGTTTGTGTTTTTTTTAAATCATAATATTTTGTAGTTAAGTTTGTATTATGGTGTTAAAATGCCTGCATCAATTGGTGTTAATTTACGTGTCACTGGCCACTGTAGCCAAGGTGGTAGAAAGTATATGGAAGATTTGTTTTCCGTTGCGTATCAACAAACGGAAGATGAGAGGGACTTGGAGTATGCTTTCTTCGGAATATACGATGGCCATGGGGGTGGTGAAGCTGCAGCCTTTGCTAAGGAGCATTTAATGGACTCAATAGTTAAGCAACGACAGTTTTGGTCTGACAATGACGAGGATGTGCTCAAAGCTATTAGAAATGGTTACATGTTGACCCACTTGAACATGTGGAAAGAAGTAGGTAAATGTCAAATTCCAGGTTCTTATTATTTTAATCTCTACGTAGAGCAGTATTTTGCAAAGATAATTATATGATTTGAAGGGGAAGAGTGATTGTACGAAATGTTCCTCTTGACCTTGTTGTATTTGCTCATTATTTTTTTTAGAGTACTGTGACATTGAGTCAACAAAAAGGTTTTCTAATGTCAATGTTTTGTTTATAATTTCATTTATTAAGGCTTATGGTACATATTTACAAATTTTATTGTTGCACAAGCTATAAAGCCTCCTACTTTTTGCTAAGTGAAAGCTGTTTTACCAGTTTAAGTTTTTTGTATAGATTCGTGTTTGCCTCTTACCAAAATCTGTGCAATTCAAAGGTCAAGAGGTAATATAATATAACATGTTTTTAGCTTATGTATTTCATAAATAATGAAAATTAAATAACTGCATAAACAATCATGTAGAAATTACTATGTGTAGATGATATTTGTTTGATTTTTTTATGTTTGATTTGCTAACTTTCAGAAAAATGGCCCAAAACAGTAACAGGGCTGCCAAGCACTGCAGGAACGACTGCCAGTGTGGCATTTATACGGCGTGGGAAAATTTACATTGGGCATGTAGGGGATTCTGCAATTGTACTGGGCTATCAAAAAGATGGTATGACTTTCATTTTATTAAATCTCGTATAACAGTCATAATATTCTATTCTACTTATAAACAAAACTGTTTTTATTAAAATACAATAATAAACAATACCAAGTATAAATATTTTTTTAACTTTATTTATATCAGCTTATAGTTGCTCATAGTAGCTGATCTCATAATTATTAGTGCACAACATCTATTTTGATTGCTATTAAATTCTGTAAAATGTGTTTTTACTTACTACACAGTGGTAATTTTGTAGTTAACTCTATGATTTATCATTATTGTGTATTGTTCGTCCATTATTATTTATAGATATAAATTATATATTTAAGTATTCGTATGGTAATGAATCAATCAAATTCTAATTTTAAATAAATTCAATTTTTTTAATGTTATTTTTTTTGTCAATTGTCTTCTTTCCTTTTCCTAACCTGACCAAAATATATTTAGAAATATAAATTGGCTGTTTGTTTTAGGTTGTGATGATTGGGCTGCTAAGCCATTAACTTTAGACCACAAACCAGAGTCTACTGCAGAAATTGAACGCATTCAGAGATGTGGTGGTAAAGTCATATCAAAAGCTGGTGTGCCTAGGGTTGTATGGAACAGACCTCGCCTAGGTCACAAGGGACCAATTAAAAAGAATACTCCAATGGATGAAATCCCATTTCTAGCGGTAGCACGTTCACTAGGAGATCTGTGGAGTTACAATCCTCAAAGCGACGAATTTATTGTCAGCCCTGACCCTGATGTAGGAGTGCTGACTATAGATCCCACAAAGTTTAGGTAATATTTATGTGAAAATGTCTATTAAGTACTATTATCTAACTTATATTAATTTGTATCTATATTTTTTAAATCAATTTTTCTCTTTTTTTAGGTGCCTTATTTTTGGCACTGATGGTTTATGGAATATGATATCACCTGAAGGTGCTGTTAGTTTAGTACAAGCCACTGAAAAACATAATGAAGCAGCTTTGGTGGGAGGTGGAGGAAACCAACCAAGAGACTGGCTCAATCCTTCTAAAAGCTTAGTTGATCATGCTCTAGAGAGGTATGTTATGTCTAAATATTTTTTTTATGTTCTTTTGTTTTAATGTTGCATAATATAATAATGTTAATAATTTACTTTGCAGGTGGTCTAATACCCGTATGAGAGCTGACAACACATCTGTGGTAACATTAATGTTAGACCCGCCAGGCCCACCCAGGGCGACGGTGTTACGTTCTAGAACAACAGCCCAGAAACCACAATCTACAATACCATCGACTGTTCCTGCTTCCAACGTCAGTGTCCCTCCACCACCTGCTAAAACCGAGGAACCGAAATCTGACGCCGCAGTTGAAAGTGACGCACGGCAAGTGCCACAAAATGGGCTCACAATCATGACAAGATACTCTGATGTGGATAAGTCTGTTCCATCAACAGAAGAGCCTGATAAAACCGCACCTCTCCCACCATGTGCAACTCTCGATGGCAGATTTTCTGTCGGCCACAGGGAGGAAAGTAATCGGGAGGAAGACAATAGTGCAGAAGGGGAAGCTATTAGTAATTATGGGAATCCAGCAGAGTCATATTTCATGGCCCGATTGTTAAGTCGATCCCGTATAGTTAACACACTATCTGAGGTCTTTGCCGAAATTGTGAATGGACAATCTTTAAGAAATAATTGTGAAAACCGAGTGGTATCGCCACCCGTCGCTACTGAGCTGCCGGAGACGGGAGCAGGTGACGTCAGCGGCGCGCGCGTGCCGCCGCCCCCGCCCACCGCGCCGCCCGAACCTGGGGGGGCGGGGCCCGCCGGTGACGCGGACGACGTGCGCATACAGATCAACGAGGTGTCCTCCAGCTCGCCCACTGAAGCGCCGCCTCGCGCCCGCACCCGCCGCCACCGTGGCGACGCGCGGCGCGACCAGCCCGTGCCCGACCGCGTGCTGCGCTCGCACCACGAGCCCGACGCGCCGCCGCGCCCGCGCACGCGCCTCACGGCCGCGCGCGTCCCGCCCGCGCCCGCCGCGCCCGCGCCGCTCGACCGCGTCGTGATACTCACGCGGCGCGCGCCCGCCCCCGAGCCGCGCGCGCCGCCCGACGCCGACGAGCTTCGGCGCGCCACGCGCTCGCAGCACGCTGCGCGCGCGCCGCCCGCGCCCCCGGGAAACTCGGCGCGCGCCCCGGGGCCGGTGCGGCGGGCCCCGGCGGCGCGGCGCGAGGCGGCGCGGGCGCGCTCCAAGGAGAACCTCGGCGTCGCACGCCGCCGCGCGCGCGCCTGCGCCGCGGGCCCGTCGCCGCCGCGCCCGCCGCCGCCGCGCCGTCGCGCCGGTAGCGCCGGCGAAGAGGTGCACTCCACCACGGGCGAGGCGGTGGCGGAGCGCGCACTGCGGTCGCGCAACGAGCCGGCCGCGCCGAGCGGGGCGGGCGGCGCGGGCGCGGGCGGCGGCAAGGCGGCGCGCGTGTCGGCGGAGCGCTGCGCGCGCTCGCTGGGCAAGCGCTCGCTGCCGTGGGCGCCGGCGCTGGCGCTGCGCAACCGCCTGCGCCGGCGTCTGGGCAAGTAGCGCGACACGCGCCGAGTGTGGGAGTGAGGTGTTCTGTTATGGTTACCTGTGAGTGTAGATTGCAACGGTGCCTTCTAGTACTGCCAAAGTACTTTGACTTTTAATATATATTTAAGTTCCAAAGATGACTGTGTCGTATACGGTTAGATTTCAGTTGTTATTATTTTATTTTACCGCTAGACCCGTTTCAGGCTGACCGCATAGGTTCTGTATTTATTGTCTTTTTCACTGTTCGATGTCAACATTCTTTGATTTTTCCGCGATACTAAATGTGTATAAGTCGTTAATGTGTAAGTCGCGTTGATAGTAATCAATAGTACAAAGAAGTTAACTGCCTAGCAACTAGTAAATGAAAGTGTGGACCAGGCGGATAAAATAAGCCCATAATAAATAAATATTTATTTTGTCTATATTTATAGCACTTATCGTGTTGCATTTAATTCTAGGCGAATATGAAAATTTAATTTTCATAGAGATCATGTCAAATCAGAGGCTACATAGAAACTTTCAACTATATGTTGTTAATGACAAGTGCATAAATTGTTTCACAAAGTAAAGATTTTTATTAAAATTGTTAGTTAAAGTATAAATAAATATGAAAAAAAAAACATTAATATACCAAGAGTGCTTTCTCAAAAATTATTTAAATAAGTAATAGAGTATATATCGATATATGCAGAATATTTTTTGTACAGTCGTCACCAAAATAAAATTGTAAATTATTCATAAAAGGATATTTTTTCTATGCAAATGTATTGTTAAGATTTCCGAAGTTATTCTTTTAAGAAAGGAATTATTTGTGTACTTCCTAATCGAAGCTTTATTAAGTTTGATAGTTCCATAGTAACACTTACGTCAATTACATATGGAAGTGAATTTAGTTTTCTGTTAGCACTAGCACCATACCATAGAGACAACCGTTGTCTAGAAATATTATTAACTGTTGACCTCAAGACATTGAATTGAATATTTTGCTTTGATAATGATAGCTCTTGGTGCTTTTATTACGTTACTCACACAAATCCTCCGACTTTCTTTCTATTTTTATTTGTGACATTACCATCTTTATTATACATACGATTTTCTCGTCAAAGTTAATATATTGTGATCACGGAACCATTGATTTATGTTAAAGACCAAAAAAGGTTTTGTGTACTACAATTTTGTTGAATAATTAATTTTAATATAAAAAAGAAACTTATCAAGAGCATGATCTTATTGTGGTAAGAAGTTAGATTTGTTATTATAAAACAGATTGTCCACGGTTGTACATATGTGTACCTCTATAGATAAAAGCTTATTTAATGATGTTTTTTTTTATATAAGTAATTCGATTAGTAACTACTGAACGAGTTTTGACGAAGTTTAAACTATTGTATAGCTCAGTTTCCGGCCGACGTAGGTTACGTTTCTCGCCACTGCCGGCCGGCGGCCGTTAGTATGTAATATAATGTGCCTCATTTGTTACCGACTAATCGACAAAAACATAGGTAAAAGTGTTCTTTGATAAAATGAGATATTATGTATTTTTTATTGAGAATAAATTTTATGAAGTGTAATTAGCATGTAAAAGATGATATAATATAATATGTTAAGATTATAATATGTGTTAAGGTTTTTAGAAAATTTCAAGTTTAACTACACTCAATAAGACGTATGGGAGTCGTTTACACGACTTGTGTTATGTAAACATTAACAAAAATCAATTGAATTTTTAATATAATGGATATTGATTTTTTATATTATTAACAAAATACTAAATTTATATTGGGAAAGTTTTTTATATTAGCGGAATTAATATAATTTATTCTTAACATATCGTACCTTTGCGTAAATTATAAAATTGTGTTTAGATATTGAAAAGTTTAATGGAAAATCGAAAGAAAATACGTAATATATTGGATAGATACAAGATTCTCATACATTGTTTAGTTAATACCCAGTTTGTTTTCAGCGTAAAGTTTTACACGTGAGAGGGTGTTACGTTTATAGTTTTTGAGTGTACGCTAGCATTTGTACCGTTGATGGTAAGATTTGATGATGATTGTGATTTAAAACATGGTGGTTACGTAGATGGCTTATGGAGATGGGGAAAGCTGAAACAAATTTATAACTATATATATTAATACCTATTGAAGTAAAGAATTATTGTAGACTTTATTTTTTGATTTAAATAAAGTTTGTATGAAACAATATGTCTATTTATTTGTACCTTATAGAATTCATTACTACATTTTCAATTCAAAGATAAACCCTAAAATAAAGCAATTCGAAATACCAAATTCTATTTGCGTTGCATCCTATGAATGCGGAAGCTGTACGATACGCTCCCCTAACGGACATGAATGGGCCGCAACCCGCCCCGTTGTGTTCACATCTGTCTCTCGCATCTCGCTCCCTATCACCCTACTATTTCAACTCGCTAGATTATAGTTTGGGCGCGCGCTCTAGCGTCCTGTCGTTTCCCACCCGGCCGGTCGTCAGTTACGCCACGAACGTACTAACGTCGCGTGTGTTTTGCACTATGTAACTTAATTAATGTGTACTCGCAACTTACTGTAAAAATTATTATATCGTTTGCAAAGAAAAGGTGGTTTAGTGTTTTTTTTTAAATTGGAAAAATAAAAGCTCTTATATGCCGGTTTTGACGTGAAAAAACGCGGGAAACGATAGGTTTTTTTTTTCGTGCGTGCGTTTCGTTTATCGATCGACTCGCGCTACTGCATTGCACCGGTGCAGGATGATAATGGATTGTGCTGTTTTGTTTACATCTTTTTGTTATATTATTTATATTTAACGAGAATAACGTTGCTGTGATCATTTGATAGTAATATGATATTTTTATAAAAAGAGATAGAAAAATAGGTAACTAAGTTGTTTATTAATATCGATAGGTACATGAATGTCCGACGAGACCCGGATCAAGAAACAATTTTATTATTATCGTTGTGACGAGCACGCATTCTCTATGTTATCTAACTTGCTCTACCAGTTTTTTTTTGTTATTATAAGCATGTTTGGCAATTTACAATGTGCTGTTTCCAATTCGAGTAGCCATTAATAATAGTTATAAGTAATCGATATAAGGATAATTATTTTTTATTTAGATACCAGCTCTAATATATATGCTTAACATTCCTATCCAATTAATATATTGAACTTTAGAATTTAATATTTAAATTAGAAGGTATCGAAAACTTTTTTTATTGTTACTTATAATAATTATTCATTATAATTGACCTCCAATAGTATTGCCGGTTGAAGACTTACGAAGTAGGCGAAGAAAGTGCGCACAGCGTTGTAGAGTTTATGTAACCACGTTTCAATTTTCACGATTTAGGGATAGTTAAAGCTATGATGAAAATTCTAATTGTACAACTATCAGTCAATAAAAAACTAAAACTAATTGTTTCCACCAATAACATATTTATTATGTATTAATATAATCAATCAATTTTTTAAGAAAGATTTCCGAAAGTTAATGGTATATTTAATTTTGGAAAAATATAAAAATAATCCGCTAGTCTAATATTAATTATCCGTAAACTCTAGTCGGGAACTAGTAAATTGTGGATTAAAGTCAAGTTCAAACTACTTCATTTGATACTTTAGTTGTCTCGGTAAATGAGCTTCTAGGTTTCTAAACCGTATCATGCTCACAAACTAAGTACTTAAACAGTAGGTACACCTTAATTATCCTCATTTAAATGGTACAAAATACAACTTTATCAATTTAAAAATATGATTTTACTTCTCTTTATGACTAAAATTAACACGAAAGCTAAGCAAGATAGATACCAAGAAAATGTAGAGTTAGAAAATTATTCAGATTGTTATGTTTTTTCTTTGATGCGTTAAGAATTAAGATTATTTGTTTTTTTTTTAATAATATGTATGATAATGTACGATATAGATATTCATATATTATATGTTCTATAAAAATGAATGCATGTGTGTCTGTTTGTAACGCATGCATGCACTTCTAAACCATTCATCTGATTGCGATGAAACTTTGTGAAGGTTTCTGATGTTCAGTAATATAAGATACGGTCCCCTTGGATAATGTCTCTGCTAAGCTTACCCGATATTGTATAAACTAATTAGGTGCTATTGGTTTGTTTAGCTTTAAATACAAAATATATTCAGCCTGCGACTTTTATCGAATGCGTCGATGGCGATAGAAATAAAATTAAGGACCACTTAGTCACTTGAAAAGAAAGCTCAAGCTTTATCTTTTTTTTTTGGATTTAGGTACTTACTTATTCGATCCTTTGAAATAAAAATGAAATATATTTTTTATGTACATAGTCTTAAAATTATAATAAAAAAGTCTTATTCAATATCGTTGAGTCAATCTTGAGTAGGTAATCCACGTATAAAAAGAAAAAAATTGTTGAAATTAATTAATAAGTATTCTGTGTGTATTTTGCTTCGCTACAATGCTATTAGGTATAGCTAAAACTCGTATAGGAATATTTCAATAGATACATCCCACTAATATAATATTATACGCGAAAGTTTGTGAGGATGTATAGATGTAGGTATATTTGTAACTCTTTCATGTAAGAAGTACTGAACAAATTTTGATGAAACTATACAGTAATATAACTTATAGATCAGAGTAACACATAGGCCTTAATTTATAAAGGTATAGTAATACTTTCTTAGGTTTACGCGTATATTTGACATTTAAAAATAAAAAAATAAAACATTTTTTTAATTAAATCGCGATTATTATTATAATGAATCTGCGAAATAATCCGAAAAGATTGTTTTGATTAATAAGATATTGATATAGAAATTCATAATAGAGCTAAGTGGGCGGCGCCGCGGGAAAACTCTAGTTGAAAAATAATATATTAAAGGCAGTATCTATCTATGTCTGTTCACTTTACCATCCACAACTACGAACATGTTCACGATATAAATACGCTAGTGACGCAAACTGGCAAGGAAACCTTACACGGGGAATTATTGCTCGTATGAACAAAAGATTA